TCGACTTTTTGACACGTCGGCAAAAAGCACATCGGCAAAATGACATTCGGCGAAATGAATTCGGCAAAATGACATTCGGCAAATCGCCTTTCGGCAATTTGTCCGGACACCCCTCATGCGCGGTGTTTATCAGTGTCCTGATTTATCGTGTCTAGCTCAGCCTTAGCTGTAGTTGGCGCTCCGCGCCGCCGTTTTTGGCATACCTGTTTGGGCATTTTGTCCGCACATGTTGTACAAATTTCAGACCCAGGTCGCCTTAGGCTAGGTCACCAGGTCACGCATAGTGACCTCACCCCAGAAAAAAATAAGAATGCTCGTCATAGCTACACCGACTGAACAATTGCCTTGAAACTTTCAGCGATTTATTAAAAGCAACATTATCTATAAAATGTATGTCTCGGAATTTTGATATCGGTGACCTAAGGTCAGATCAATTTTGCGGCCTCTCCATTACCTATAAGTCAATGGGAGAAAATTGAAAAGCGTCTGTTTTGCACGAACGCTATTCTAGACACTCTCAAACATCAAGATGTAGGTAAAATTGACACACTGAACCGGAAAATGGCAACTGTGACCCCTCGTTATGTCCCCGAAGTCATCTCAGGTCACCAACAGAATCTAACAGTTTTTCGCTAATAACTTCTGAAAGAGGCGTGCTAGAGCGCTGAAAACGCCTTAGATGTGTTCGGCTCGCCGTTGCGGATCGACTGATATGCAACATGACCTTTTCCGGTCAGGTCATGACCTTGACCTGAGGTCAAATTTTCAAGTTGACCTTTCAAGGTCAAATTATAGTTCTTTCGACGCGTCTCGACGAGAGCAACACGATGCTGGCAAAAGTAATGTCATGGCTCTTTTGAGTCAAAAGTTATTGCCGAAAAAAAAACTTTTCGTAAAAACGTTTTTTTTTAGTTTTTGCCCTCTGGAGGCTAAACCGTTGACCTGAGGTCAAATCTGAGGGCAACATTCAGAAACCTCTGTAAAAGGGCTATCGAATGCACTTTTCCTTGGCGCTGTAGCTCTATCGGTTCCCGAGATAGCCGTCGGCAGTTTCCAAAATGTTAACCCGGCACCGCCTGGGCTATTTACGTAACCACGACAGCCTGGGGGGGGTCGGATCCGACCCCCCCTGTTATCTCGAGAACCAATGGTCGTATCGAGCCCCGCGAGGCGGCGTTCGAAAGGTCTCTACGAGACCTTCCCAAAGCACTCTTAAGATTTTTTAAGATTGAGGTCAACTTTCGGGTCAAGGTCAGGTCAAAGGTCAAATTCAGGGGTTTTGCATGATTAGCCCTCGCCCTGGCAGGGGGGGTCGATGCGACCCCCCCTAAGGTTTTTCGAAGATAGCGTAAAAACGGCGGCGCGCAGCGCCGCCAAATTTGGCACAGCCTATGGGGCAACCTTTTTACATATGACCTGAAAATTTCAGGTCCGGGTGACCTTGGGTCAGGTCACCAGGTCAGAAAAACCGGTACAAGGTCATGGTCAAATTTCAATTTTCTTTTTGCACCTGTCCAACTCACAGTTTTTGACTGATTTCCTTCAAACTTTCAGGATGTGCTAAGTTCACCGAGTTGTATAACATATAGTCCGGCTTTTTTTTAGGTCACTGACCTGAGGTCAGTTAGAGGTCATTACGTCGTAATGTTAAGCCTATGGGAAAATACTAAATTCGGAAAATACTGGAGATATCCGCTTCGTTCTATCACTTTTGTGCTTTGAAACCACGGTACATAACAGCAGGTCACTTGGTGCTTCTTTGTTTGGTGTACTTATCCATGGGTCAGGTCAAATGAGGTCAACTGAGGTCAAATGACGTTTTTGCCAATAACTTGGCACATAGTGACGCTAGAGCTTAAACAATGGCACCATTGTGTTCCTGGTGATCAGCCGAATCGAATGATATGCGATATGATGCAATTTGGTTAACTTAAACTTAATTTATAAATTTAAGTTTACTTAAAATTTAAGAAAAACTTTAAGTACACTTAAGCAAGCTAAAAAGTATATCATTCGACGCGCCTTGATGTTCTGAGTTCACTGGTGCTTTTCTTTTTTCTCTATCTTAATTAGATCAAAAGTTATAAGCGAAAAACTTTTGACCTGTTTTTAGCGAAATTTTTACATTTATACCCCCCAAAACCCCCCTAAATATTGACCTAGAGCAACCAAATTTGCACAGGGGCGAGAACTCTAGAGGGCCCACCTACCTACCAAATTTGGTGTTTCTAGGTGCCATAGGAGCCAATCGCGAGGGGGGGGGGTCGCATCGACCCCCCCCCCCCTGCCAGGCCGTGTTATGAAAAATGCCCTGCCAGGGCGAGGGTTAGGCTTACGGACAGCGGAATCGATAGCTGCTGCTCGAAACTCACCAAAAATGACCTCAAAGACCTAGTGAAGGTACCATGTGCGTATAGGGGTCATACTAAGTACGGGTCAAGGTCAGGTCAGGTCACGAAAGGTCACGGTTTTCACTTTCTGCTACATGGGCGTGCGACACATGTTTTATGGCTTATTTTTCACGCCAAATCCGATGATAATGGTTATATGTGACCCCAAGTCACTGTGCTGGTGATAAGTGTGCATTGAAAGCATACAAAATCGTTTATACCATACATAACTAAACGAGGGCTGAGAAAAAAGGTCAATTTTTCAATTTTTTATTTTTGACATAAAAATGCACTTTTCTAGACGAGCTTTATCCCAGGAAGCTAGTGGTGCCATTTGTTTTCACATGCGATGTTCAGAAGTGCCTCTAATTCGCGAAAATGCTTATGACGTCACCATGCCCTATGCTGTTTGGAGCTATTTTTTACAATTTGGGGGTCAAAAATTAAGATAGAAAGTTGAAATTTGGGACATCTAATGTTCTAATAGAGCTCTATAATATATATTCCGGTTTTTTGGAAATTCTCAAAATTTTGGATTTTATTAGCTGTTTTCCAAAAAATATAGTTTTTTGAAATATAGTTATAATTTTTAGGGGTGAAAAACGCATTGTATGGAAAATCCGAGATAGCCATTTTAAAGAAGACGTTCAGCTGCGTCTTTTTATGTCCTTAATTTGCAATTTGCTTAAAACCTCGATTTTTGGCGAATTTTTAAACATTTACCATTTTTTGACTGAAAACGCCATGTAGTTACATCACTAAAATCGATATATCTCAAAAGAATTTGAAATTTTTTTCTTAAAAATTGCACAGGAGACGTCAAATTGATGGGGAAGAAGGTATGCCAAGTTTCAAGTTGATAGCGCAAGCGGTTCATGAGTTTTTTTAAGAAAAACGGAGGGGGGGGGGGTCGGATCCGACCCCCCCCCCCAGGCGGTCGCGGGTTAAAATAGTCAACATCTTACCTTTGGTGACCTGGTGACCTGACCTTTGACCTGACCCAAAAAAAATGACTGAAGCGTTTTCGTCCTTATTTTGGACGTTCTGTGGATTGCCGCTTACCGCGTGTCGCTATGTGGCCCAGGGGCCGAGTTAGAAGGGAGGTGTTTAGACACCCCCTGGCACGGCGCGGAATCTTGGAGCACCGGCCCGGCGCGGATTAATAGGTTGAAGGATAGGGGAGAGAAAGGGGACGGGGATGAGGGGAAAATCTTCTAGACATGTCACATCGGTACTCTGCTCACCAAAAGTAAACACCGCTGCCTGACAGGATAATTAAGTAAGCAAACGAAAGGGGCGTCGCCACGGATTTTTGAGTGGGGGAGGGAGTCGGGTTTCCGGTTTCGTCTTGATGGGTAGGGGTGTTTTTAGCCACACCCCCGGTTTTTTCGTGTGTTGAGAAAAACCTCGACGCGCAGCGCCACGAAAGCAGCGGCATATCTTATTGTACATTACTTTTGCATCGTGCATAAAAATCAAGCACAGGTCACCTGAGGTCAGGTCACAATGTCATGTCAAGTTCAGTTTTAATGCCTCTAAAAACTGCACTCTTGTCATTCCTCTAGATTATCTCCTATAAGTCTGAAATTTGGTGTAATGAATGGGATTATAAGTGCCAACAGTTCATGAATATGGGATTTTACATCTGAGAAGTGAAGTCAGGTCAAATATGTGACCTCACCATTACCAATCATGATAAGGTATGGGAAAAGGCACATATGCCCTCTGCTTTGAACGAATATGCTAAAAACGCTAGATTTTTTTTGTAGTCATGGCACCTCTGCTCATTTTAGAGACGAGGTGCAGCTAATGACCAGTGGTGACTCAAATGAGTAATCGCCACGCACCTTGTATGTGGATCGCTCTTAAGAGCTGACCGTACCAGATGCTGTTTGATGGTGTTATCGAATACCGTTCGTCCAGGCCACTCCCAGATCCTGCTGGCCGCTGCCCTGCCCCTCAGCACCGCCTGTACGGATCTTGTCAGCTGGTCATCGATGAAGGGGAGAACTATATAGTCGGGTGACTGATGTTCTGTTCTGATGAAAGGAAAAGGAAAAAGAATTCAAAAGAAACGGAGTGAAAGGTGCAGGATTTTATTAGGGTTGTTGCCGGGCAGGTTGGCGGGTATCCGCCTATGCAGTCCTGTCTGAAGAGCCATCAGAGGCACGCTGCTCTCCCGGCCGGTCGCCTATGCACGTGACTGGCGGCTGCGCCGGGTGGCCGCGAGGCAGCGCCACTGTGGCCCCACTTCGGCCCATCACCGGCAGCGCAGTGGCGCCCCCCGTGACCGGCGCTTCGCCAACATCACATCAAGTATTATTCTACACGGCGACCTCTCGCCGATGCTAGTTTGTCACTGACCTGAGGGGTGCCCTTTCACTCGTGCTGTCTGCTAGTGTCATGCTCCATGATAAAATGTAACAGCGGATAATTTCCCCGGTTGTGCATGATATCGGGCTAAAAAAAGAAGTTGGTACGTACTTCACCTCTATGTGTTCTACCTTAGTCCTGTGTTTCAAACGGAAAATGCATAGGTAAAAATTGCAAAAAAAAAAGAGTTTTGACACATGACATTTACTAAATTTTAAATATAATGAAAATCCACGATAACAGTTTGATAGCACAATGTAGGGGAGAGTGGTGCAGGAGGCCCCGCCTTAAGCTCAGTTGCTATTTTTAGACAACTGATAATATTTAAGAGCTAACGTGTGCATGCGCTGTGAGCATGCATCATTTTCCCATACATATTTGCATTCAAAATGAATCTAGGGGGTACACAAACCGTAAACTTTAACATTTTGGAAAAAGTTGCAAAAGGGCCTCTTACACTATGGGTATGGTAAGACGCCCCCCCCCCCCTCGGGTGTTTAACAAGGCAAGTCGACTTGCAAAAGACGTTTTGCGAACACAGCTGCAAGGCCTTTTATTTCGAAAAGCTAAGCAAATACGGTGTTATCGAAACCAATAACACTTCCAAAGCGCTCGAACAATGCGAAAACTAGCACAACCAAACGCTGATGACCAACGAAAATTGTACCTATTACCTCTAGAAAAAGAAACAGAAAAAAAGAAACAAAAACAAACTCCTTGAAAAAAGAATGCCACGCCTGCCGCAGGTGCAGGCGTTTTAGCATCGGGGGCGTTTTTTATCGGGGGGGCGTTTTATAATCCTCGAAGGGAGGGCCTCTTAAAAAAATGCAGTGTTGTAACGTCACAATATTTATGGTTTATGAGACATTTGCAGCGCACCAGAACATGGTCTATTCTGAAGCTAACATGTGACAATTTCGATGAGATAAGATTGCATTTGATAGTCATTGTTTTTCAGATATATAAGGGTGATAAAGATGCATATATCTAGCAAGTAAAGGGGCAAAAACAGAAACAGGCTTACCAAAAGTCGCTGCGACGCACCTGATACCTCAGGTTTCGTGAGTTGTTGTTTCAAGAGGGCTTCTGCTTTACAAGAACATTAAAAAATAAATAACATTATTGGTTTGGTAAAAAAAGCGATGGGGCCTCTTACCGACCCTGGGCGTCTTACACGGATCTCCCCTATTCTGTATCATCTCATGCAAAGAAATTAGTGCTAGCTTAAAAACTAGGCTCTTGAGAGCGATTGACGTAGAACCATGTTTTGCATCAAAATGACCGGACACGGCGTCGCTCTGTCCTCGTTTTCGGCCATTCCGTTGGGAGCTCCACAATACATTTCCCTTTTATTTTGAAGTGCAAAATGGATGCCGAAAAAGGGTGTGCAAAGTTTGGTGGTTCTCTTAGTTTTCGCTCAGTAGATATGAAGGAGAGAGGACAGAGGCCGTTTCGCCCCCCCCCCCTCCCCCAACAGGGTGCGGGTATAGCTAGGCGTTGTAATGAATAATATTCTCCAGCAGCGGTAGTAGTCCGGCCCGAGGGCACACTGCGCTGGGCTGTTCACAGTGCTAAGTTGCCGCTGGGCGCTAACGCACACCACACTCGGCGCTGATACACTTGTGACGTGGAACATAGAACTATCCACTGGTCTCCGAGCGGCTACACCCACGGTAACCACTTGATAACACTAACCCGCGACCTGATGGGGGGGGGGGGCTATTTTTTGCCCCCCCCCCCTCCAGACTTTTCGATATATCTCCAGAACCGCTGCGCCGATCGTCACCAAACTTTCAGTACCCTCCCGGACATCAATTTTACACATTGTGACCAAGAATTTTTCCAAAGGCTATGATAGGTTGGCCGGAAATGACGTCAGAGTGACGTCATGTTCTGCCGTTTTCGACCCAAAAAAGGGTTTTGCGGGAAGAGCTGTCAGGCCTATAGCTTTGCAAATACAGAAAAATGATAAAGACATAAAAGCTGTAGAATTGACAGGGCTACAAAACTGGTATCTCGGATTTTTGTAATTTTTGGATTTTGACCCCCAAAAATAAAAAAATAGATTTTTTCGATATAATAGTCGGAATATCCAAAAAGTTTTTTGAATTTCGCAAAAACCGGAATAGATGTGATAGTCCTTACTGCCTTCCATCTACATACCAAATTTGAGATTGATACCTCTTTTTTTTGCCGAAGTTATAGCGAAAAAACTGTTCAAAATTGATGACGTCAAATTTTCAAACTCAATTTTTAGCAATTATAGACCCCGTAGCGCAAAATAAAGACCACCATTAGACTCCCCGTGACGAGCTGCATCGAATCAATACCCATTTTATGCAAAACTATCAACTTTAAAATTTGACCTTTTTTGACCTGACCTTGACCTGACCTTGACCTGAACTTCACCAGAAAGTGACTTAAGCCGTACCTGATAGTCTTATAACCAACACCATTGAGTTGGAAATGAAAAATTGGCCATAAAACATGCATCACACAACCTTAGTAAAGTTGGGTTCATGTGACCTGACCTCTGACCCTTGGTGACCTGACCTTTGACCTGACCTGGTATTGTCAGTGACCTCTAATAGCAACATATCTACTAGGCAACTGACGCCCTATCGCTGATTCTCGACAAAATGCGTTTTCCTCGGTGTTATAGCGCATTCCCTAGAAGACCCGTGAACGGTGAAACATTCCATCTTTGACCTGACCTGTGACGTCATCGGTGACCCCGAGGTCAATGAAATTTGGTTTCCTTCGACAAATTTGACAGGCCTTTCGAACGCCGTTTAAATTTTGCGGATCCGTCCAGTAGTTTCGGAGATACGAGGGGGAGGACAAAAAATAGCCCCCCCCCCCCCACCAGGTCGCGTTATAAACAGACCCCACCAGGGCGCGGGCTAAATAGGCAAAGACAACGCTTTCTTTAACAATTATAAAACTTCAAAAATCTCGCAACATGCTGTTTATAAATATTTGAAATAAATTTCACAACCTAATGAGATTTTTTCGTCGAACAAGATGATAATTCTTTCGATCACACCCGGTGAGTCAGCACTTTGTGCACACAGTCACACACTGTCACGAACGCGAGCGAACCGCCCTACAGTTACCCGCCCATATCGCGGTAAAGACTGGACGGAGGCAAGTGCAGCCAGGCGGTGGCAGCTCTCCCGGGCCGGCGCGGTGGACCCAGCTCGTATCCACCTCCGCCGGTGGACGGACGCCCCGCGGACGCGCACGCGTCCCCCCGGCGGTCTAGTGAAGGCGGTGGATCGCAGCAACCAGCAGCGGGGCCAGCGCCACGGCCAGGCCGGCGCGCACGGACGCCGCCGAGCTGTCGTCATCATCACCGTGATCGTGATCGTCGTCATCGTCATCGTCATGCGCATCGCCGGGCTCCGGCTCAGGCTCCGACTCCGGCTCCGGCTCTGGCTCCGCGGTCGGTTCCGGCTCCGGCTCCGAGGTGGGCTCCGGCTGCGGCTCGCCCCCCTCGTTCAGGGTGACAACGTCTGAGCGCATCTTGGCCCAGAACGTATCCAGCTCCTGCACGACCGTCACCAGGAAGACGACGTCGCTGTCCAGGTCGGCCGGCGCCTGCCAGGTGACGGCGACGCGCTGCTTGGGGCCACTGTTGCTATGGGTGACGGCCGTCTGCGGATACATATTGGGACTGTTCAGACGGCCGAGAAAAGCAGTCAGTCAGTCAGACGGGGAGTCACACGGCTGTTACACGGGTCGGACTGGGAGTCAGAATGGGAGTCAGGCCGGAGGCACAGGCGGGAACTCGAATTGGGGACAGTCGGAGCCAGTCAGTTAATCAGACAGGTAACCAGCGCTGTGCTACTTTCCTGAGCGGCAACACCCGAACGGGTAATAGGGTAAGTATGTACCTTTTGTCCACGGCAGCCATCCCCGTTAAACGGGCTTGTGCAAGGCAGCCGACTTTAGCTGAGTTTCATCACCACTACAGGCTTCACTAGTCAGTTATGCGCATGTCAAGTGACTACTGACTACTGCTGCGCATGTGAATTCTGAACGCTTTGCCATTGAATATTTGAGTACAAGAAGATTGCAAGAAACAGAAACATGAGTTTCATCATGTTCGTAAAAACAAGCACTTTTGACGACTAGCAGAACATAAAAATATCGATATACATGCTTTTAAAAGCTTATGCTCATTAAACAGCTCTACATAATCTACTTATCTGTCTTCTGTCATACTCGAGATAATGTGCAAAACAGTAACAAGCGGTGCTCACCGCGGTACCGCCGCAGTCGACGGCGCGGTGCTGATCGTCGATCTCGACGAACTGGCCCAGTGGCGCGGCGCTGACCGTGTCCGCGTTCCGCGCCTGCACGAAGAAGCCCTCGATGTCGGGCGTCGAAGAGTCACTCGGGGTGATGGTCAGGGTGACCCTATGGATGACACGGGGTCATGCAGAGGTCACAGAGAGGTCACATGGAGGTCACATAGAGGTCGCCCAGTGGGTGGCACTGAGGCTAAATTGAGGTCTCCCACAGAGGTCCCCCTGTAGACGGCGCTAAGGTTAAGCTGCGGTCAGAGACGCCACAGAGAGGTCACAGCGAGACCATCTCGTGGACTTCGCAGAGTTACACCGAGGTCACCAAGACAGAGGGCACGGGGTTACACCGAGGCCTGTGTTACCGAGTTATCAGTCTGGTGACGATTTGCAGGTGACAAAACAGCCCATGGACAGCTGCATGGTAACACGTGCAACGCTGGTGCCTCACTCCTTAAAACACTATCTCGGGAAATATCTGGCGAACCGGTTCCACACCACGCTGATGATTCACCACGCGAATAGGGCGCGAAGGGACGAGGTGGAGCGGGTGGGCCCACTCGGTGCACCGAGCTAGGCCCCTGTGCCGCCATATTTATACACACCGGCTGTTCACGCCCAGCGGTGTCGACAGCCGAGAGGAGGCACTTGGGGCGTCAGGTCATACCTCAGCTTACCTAAAGGAAATGTACCACTTTCCTCAAATGAGTTTTTTCTGTACAGTTTATGTTTGTATGCTTAAAATGATCAGAAAAGAAAATACTTATTATTTACAAAATAATTTTTAGAAGGAAATAGGTAATTCACTTCCCCGAGCTTTTTTGAATGGATTTATGAATTTTTTTTTATGCTCAAAATATGATAGGAATGATTAATGAAGGAGACATTGGTCTGGGCGGGCACCCTGGTGAGTCGTCGTCGGGGCTGAGCCCATCACGAGGACAGGCCACCCCGCCCCCTGACCGTCACCGTACCCGGCTACGGGCCTGCTCGTAGGGGAGCTACCCGCATCCAGGATACCCGCAGCCCGGAACAGGGATGGAGGCGTGGAGAAAGATTTGACTATCCTGAGGATGAAAACGACGGAACGGAGGTACTAGGAGACACCCTTGTGTGGTTATATTGCATACAGCGTCATCCTTTACATTTGCGAGGAAGGTCTGGATTTGAATTAAAAATAGGTATAGACATAGTCTTTACACGTGCATACTTACCTAGGTAAGCCGTGACGTAGCAAAACCAAGCATAAATGGGAACATAGACCTCTGTATACCGTATATGTAGGTACAGAGGTATACAGAGGTCTACGATGGGAACACTGTTACCGCCGAGAGGGGGAATTGAAGGAATAGGGGGTGCCAGTTCAGTTTATTGCTTAGGGCATGCGAATGTGCAACACTTACCTGTGCATGTCTGCCTGCGGCATTTGCACTGCATGGGATGTTGGGACATTTGCTTTGTGTTGCAATCGTGGCTGCCGGGTTTGCTCACACATGTTTTGCCTTCTCTTGCAGTGCAAACGTGCTAAAGTAATTGTTAATTGATGACAGGCGTATTCTGGACCATTGAACTCCTTCATCTCGCAAACGAAGTACGTATCCATACGTTTATGTGTTTAATGTCTGCGGTCAACTGTTGCTACGCTATGGAGTCATTTGTTTTCTAATGAGCTGGCCACATACATTGAATTGACACTGATCACAACAGAATGTTCAGCGGACAGTACAAAATGTGAAAGATTGCTTGTGAATAATGTACAGTCAAACAAATCGCTAGAATGCTTGCGCGATTGTGTTGTCCGCATAGCTTCTTGCGCAGGGCTGTCGTGCATGAATCGTGCATGAGCACTGCATGAGCTTCATGTGACTGACGGTGCGTGATCTGTGCGTGTTTGTTGCAGCTTTTACGTGACAAATGAATGGACTACTGCTGCAATACATCACTGGGGCAATCCTAACTGTCCTTCTTTATTGATGGTAGTTGGTAGTTGACGAAACGCGGTTACAAACACAATCATATCTCATTGAACTGTCCCGTCCAATAACCTGCCAACTCTGTCCCTTTCCCGATCCCTCTTACTGACCTGTCAACCGTACCCTTTTCCCGACACCTCTCACTGACCTGCCTACCGGCTGGACGGTCCTCGGCTCCGCCCACTGATCTGTTGACCTTTTCCCTCCCCCGGACCCTCTCACTGACCTGCCTACCGGCTGGACGGTCCTCGGCTCCGCCCACTGACCTGATGACCTTTTCCCTCCCCTCTCACTGACCTGCCTCCCGGCTGGACGGTCCTCGGCTCCGCCCACTTACCTGTTGACCTTTTCCCTCCCCCGGACCCTCTCACTGACCTGCCTACCGGCTGGACGGTCCTCGGCTCCGCCCACTGACCTGATGACCTTTTCCCTCCCCTCTCACTGACCTGCCTCCCGGCTGGACGGTCCTCGGCTCCGCCCACTTACCTGTTGACCTTTTCCCTCCCCCGGACCCTCTCACTGACCTGCCTCCCGGCTGGACGGTCCTCGGCTCCGCCCACTGACCTGATGACCTTTTCCCTCCCCTCTCACTGACCTGCCTACCGGCTGGACGGTCCTCGGCTCCGCCCACTGACCTGATGACCTTTTCCCTCCCCTCTCACTGACCTGCCTCCCGGCTGGACGGTCCTCGGCTCCGCCCACTTACCTGTTGACCTTTTCCCTCCCCCGGACCCTCTCACTGACCTGCCTCCCGGCTGGACGGTCCTCGGCTCCGCCCACTGACCTGTCGACCTTTTCCCTCCCCCGGACCCTCTCACTGACCTGCCTCCCGGCTGGACGGTCCTCGGCTCCGCCCACTGACCTGTTGACCTTTTCCCTCCCCCGGACCCTCTCACTGACCTGCCTCCCGGCTGGACGGTCCTCGGCTCCGCCCACTGATCTGTTGACCTTTTCCCTCCCCCGGACCCTCTCACTGACCTGCCTCCCGGCTGGACGGTCCTCGGCTCCGCCCACTGATCTGTTGACCTTTTCCCTCCCCCGGACCCTCTCACTGACCTGCCTCCCGGCTGGACGGTCCTCGGCTCCGCCCACTGACCTGTTGACCTTTTCCCTCCCCCGGACCCTCTCACTGACCTGCCTCCCGGCTGGACGGTCCTCGGCTCCGCCCACTGACCTGTTGACCTTTTCCCTCCCCCCGGACCCTCTCACTGACCTGCCTCCCGGCTGGACGGTCCTCGGCTCCGCCCACTGATCTGTTGACCTTTTCCCTCCCCCGGAGCCTCTCACTGACCTGCCTCCCGGCTGGACGGTCCTCGGCTCCGCCCACTGACCTGTCGACCTTTTCCCTCCCCCGGACCCTCTCACTGACCTGCCTCCCGGCTGGACGGTCCTCGGCTCCGCCCACTGACCTGTTGACCTTTTCCCTCCCCCGGACCCTCTCACTGACCTGCCTCCCGGCTGGACGGTCCTCGGCTCCGCCCACTGACCTGTTGACCTTTTCCCTCCCCCGGACCCTCTCACTGACCTGCCTCCCGGCTGGACGGTCCTCGGCTCCGCCCACTGATCTGTTGACCTTTTCCCTCCCCTCTCACTGACCTGCCTCCCGGCTGGACGGTCCTCGGCTCCGCCCACTGACCTGTTGACCTTGTCCCTCCCCTCTCACTGACCTGCCTCCCGGCTGGACGGTCCTCGGCTCCGCCCACTGACCTGTTGACCTTTTCCCTCCCCCGGACCCTCTCACTGACCTGCCTCCCGGCTGGACGGTCCTCGGCTCCGCCCACTGACCTGATGACCTTTTCCCTCCCCTCTCACTGACCTGCCTCCCGGCTGGACGGTCCTCGGCTCCGCCCACTGACCTGTTGACCTTTTCCCTCCCCCGGACCCTCTCACTGACCTGCCTCCCGGCTGGACGGTCCTCGGTGTGACCTGCAGCTGGTAGGGGAAGCTCTCTGGCGCCTTCGGCCGGATGCCCTGGTGACGCGGCGTCATGTCCTCACACGCGTCATTGGGTGCTCCGTTACTGCGGCCTTGGCAGCCGGAGGACAGCAGCAGGAGCAGCAGCGGCAGCAGCAGCGGCGACGGCGCCATGGTGGGCGACGGCGGGAGCACTGGGCGCTCCTCCGGGCGGGCAGAGGCACTGGGCGCTCCTCCGAACTGGCGGAGAACGGACACCGGACGGATAGCCCCCGTTAGTTATGCACCCCGAGCTGTGCGTTGCTATGTGGAGAGATCCAGACAACTCGCCATAGGTGATTGCACGAGGCAGAGCTACTGCATGAGGATGAGTGAACGGCTGCATATAAGCGAGGACGATGAGTGCAGCTCGGCACATAGTCGGTGACTGTCCTTGTGTTTCATTGTGTTATTCATGCAGCTGATCAAACTGCATATGCATACGGTTTGCACGCTGTGCGCCTCGACTGCGAAACGGTGAGGGACGGTACGGTCGTTCTGGTGCGTGGACCACCTGATACCGGACAATACTGGCCACAGTGTCAGCGTCAGTCCGTCTGAGGACACACCGTACAACACTGGACACAGGGTCAGTCCGTCTGAGGACACACCGTACAACACTGGACACAGGGTCAGTCCGTCTGAGGACACACCGTACAACACTGGACATAGGGTGTCAGGCCATCCGGGGACACGCCGGACTGTAGCGGCGACTATGCAGACAGCGCGATACACGGCAGACGACGCGATTATGCGACCCACATGGACCGGGTGGCACGCGACCAGGTAAGCTGGCGACACATCGACCCTGAACCTTGCAGGAGAAAATCGACACGATTCCCGGTGCCAGAGTTGCGACCTCCGCCCGCAGTCCACTGATGAGTGTGGTTCAGGAACGATACCATAATGTCAGTCGTCGCAGAATACGAGCAATTCCTCGTTATATGGAGCGGTGACATTTCAGCTAAACTCAAACATTTTGCTACCTGATAACACGCCAAACACAACGCGATTGCAGTCAAGCAAGGCATAAGCAGGAAGTTCACAGTGAAACCCCGACTTCCGCGAGGCCAACATCCACTCTGTTCGTCACGTAATGTGACTGACATCCACGACTCTGGTGACGACACGCCAAACCTTGTCACACAGCGTCACGCTGACTGGTGGTGGTGCAGACAGCGACTGGAGCTGACACATGGTTGGTGAAATACAATATCATCGGAAATTTCCGGACCTTTGAGAATTGAGATGGCGACATGCTACCCTTGCTTTTGAAGGGAAGGGTCGGGTGAACCCTCTCGGTTTTTTTCGGTCCACATGTGACATGTGAACTGTGACTTCTTCCTAAAGACCATTTAAGAACACAACGGTAATCTAATGTGGGAGACGCATTTTTAAACGGTTTATGGAAAAAACATGCTGAACATGCTAGCTAAGGCTCTCCCAAGAACACCAATTCAATATGAACAGCTTTTTGACCCGCGAATCTACTTATCTACTTGGTGGTCCCATCTTCATCGACCCCACCTACCATTTGAATACAAACACTTGACAAACACAAACACTGGAGAAAACGAAAATCAAGAAAGACCAAAGATGCCAAAAACCTCAGTTGAACAAAATTCAACTAAGATCTCCATTTCTTCGACATCTTGTTGACGATTGACCCGACCTCATATGTAGATCAATTAATAGCTTTGTTTTTGAAAGTTGATACCGTCGGTCTCGTCTCTTCATGAGCAGTAATCAAACAAACCGCGGTCATTTGAAAAATGACCGCGGTCATTTTTCCGAAAAGCTTAGACCGCCTAACTGAATAAGGGGCCGGAAGAATAGAGGATCAGATCGACCGCCCCCCCCCCCCCCCCGCCAAACACCTACCCGCCGGCACCGTCCAGGCTGGATGTTGTAAAATGTCCGACACGGATGAGGGTTCCACGAATGTCGATCAATGGTAGCCAAACTAATCTGGCAATTATCATCTGGTAATTCCCTTGAACAGGGCACAAGATAGTGTCGTGACATAATGGCGTAAATGACGCGTCACCTAAGCTGCCGCCACGACGCACCGTTGTGACACATCAAAATGTGCGCTGGCCGCTGATGACACATCAACCTGTCATCAGTGTCATCACGACACACGAATATGTCGGTTGTGACAGAACCAACCAACGCATCAGTCAACAGTGCGCTGGCGACAGAAGCATATGTCTGAGCCCATACCTATACATGCGACTGGAAAGTTATTGTCACAGGCACGGTGGTGGGACACGACAGTCACGGTAAAGCGCTGTGCGCGTGACAGTCACGGTGCAGGACGCTGGAAGGTCACGGTGGGACACTCCCGTCACGGTGGGATGCTCTACACTCTACAGTCACGGTGGGACGCTGTACAGTCACGGTGGAACGCTGTACAGTCACGGTGGGACACTGTAAGGTCACGGTGAAACACTCACGTCACGGTGGAACGCCGTACAGTCACGGTGGGAGTCTTATGTCACGGTGGGACACTGTTAGGTCACGGTGGAAGCTGCGCAGTCACGGTGGGACACAACAGTCACGGTGTGACTGTGAGGTCAAGGACACGGTGAGACACTCCCGTCACGGTGGGACACTGTTAGGTCACGGTGGAAGCTGTGCAGTCACGGTGGGACACAACAGTCACGGTGTGACTGTGAGGTCAAGGACACGGTGAGACACTCCCGTCACGGTGGGACACTGTTAGGTCACGGTGGAAGCTGTGCAGTCACGGTGGGAGTCTAATGTCACGGTGAGACACTCCCGTCACGGTAGAACACTGTAAGGTCACGGGGTGAGACACTCCCGTCACGGTGGGACACTGTTAGGTCACGGTGGAAGCTGTGCAGTCACGGTGGGAGTCTAATGTCACGGTGAGACACTCCCGTCACGGTGGAACACTGTGGGGTCACGGTGAGACACTCCCGTCACGGTGGGACACTGTTAGGTCACGGTGGAAGCTGCGCAGTCACGGTGGAACGCTGTAGGGACCGATAACCATCCGTCTGAGTTGCACACCCAGCTCGCAACAGCCGGCTGCAGCCGTGGCGGGGATTTCACCTTTTGGCCAGCTGACCCGACTGGCCGCCCTGACTGGAAGGTATACGGCACCGGAAAGCACAACACGGCACCGGGTGGCACCGGCCGATGCGACGCAGAGTGGCGGGCATGGTCACGACAGGAACTGAAACTGAGCCACGGATCTGGACCGGAAGGCGCGACCATCTCAGGGCGGCGCGGCGGCTGTGTGATCCGCCGGGGTGAAGGGGCGTGGAACTAGAGCAGCGGTCGGGTTAGAGTGCATAGGTACGCTACGAACGGCGCTGGGTCGCTGCACCATCGCCACTGAAGGCACACAGGGTTAATATGTCAGCACGGGTGCTGCTGGTGAGAAGACACTCAAATGCAGTGACGGGGGACAGGTTCAACATCATTGTGAGCACAAGTGTCGGCGACCATACATGCCGCTTAACTGACCAATGACACGTCACTTGATTCTAGGAACGAGCACGCGTCGTGTAGTAAGCGTTGCCGGCGTGTTTCCCTCCTGCGGTTAAGGAAAGTGCGCCCGCTGCCGTCCCGGCCGGCCGTTGCAGCGCCCCGCCCTGCTGCCCCGGCCAGTCGGCCCATGAACCGTTACAGGAGACACTAATCTATAGGTCCCACAGGGTCAGAGCGGGGTGCACCGGCCGAGATCCCCTCTGTGGCCGGTCCTCTCACCTGCTGGTACGCTGCTGGTCGGCACCGACCGCTGAGAGGCCTCTCTGAGCGCTGCTGACGGACGGCTCCTGACCCGCGCCCGATCAGCCCGGCCGCTCCGACACCGCTGGTCGAGCCCTGCACTGCAGGCAGGCTGCAGCGGCGCGCCGCGCCGGCCGGAACCAGTCCGGCGTGACGTCAGCGAGCCGGGAACGGCGCGGGAAGGCCGCGCCCGCGCTGCCGGGACGGCGCTGCCGACAGATAGTTCGGCACGGCCGACCACCGCCCGGCCGGCACTCGCTGACCCTCACTGACCCGACCTCCCGAACACCGCAGACCTCACTGCTACAGCGGAGTCGCGTCAGATAGCCGCTTCACACTGCGAGCAACACTCGACGTCATCCTGTCATTTCATAGGCTTTGTGTGAAAACCTCCAAAGATGATCGAACACGTCGCTCCCAGAGCGCAACCACACGGGTCAACCAAGCATTTGGCAGAATGTATGCATACCTACAGGATTAGTTTGGACGAAAGTCCGTACTCCTTCACCACTTGGTCGTCTTCCGAAGGCTCGATGATGAATCATCCACCCTTCTAGTCGCTTCTCTCGTCTGTGCGACAGGCTCTTAGTGCTAACGTAGGCAACTGCGTCCCAAGTTTCATTCACTTTTTCGTTCGCTATCGGCTGTGACGGCGATAAGAAGTTGGCCGTTATCGGCCGAGCCGGTGTGGGGCCGTGCGGCCGCGGCGGTGACGCTCAGTCGGAGGCCGTCGGTCTGCCCCTGACCGCCGGACGTGCCGCCGACACAGGTGCGTTGGTATAACACAGACGGCAGACGGCGGCTCAGAGGACGCGACTGGTGTGTTCCGGCCAACCCACGTCAGCCGCCGGCACCGGTGAGATGTCGAACGGCGGGCGATTCACTGGCACTGGCCACTATGCACCTCCGCCACTTCTTCAGGCGTTCACCTACTACCTACCTACCGTCCAATTTTTAGATGCCGTTTTTAATTCATATCGCATTAGCAAAATGTATAAATAAAATTGATGATACGTAAGCGAACGGTTCGGTCAGGCCGAACTTAATACATACTTTGATGAAATGATATGAACGTGTATAGCTAAATATTCGCGTATTTATATAGGTGTTTAATATTTATGTCACATTTGATACCTAATTTCGTTTGCATTTTTAGGTATATTTTTCACTTATCCATCAGCCTTTCTATTGGCGCTTCATTTTTTAAAGGCTTAGTTCATGAACAATCGCTCATTTTTTTTTCATCTGACACTTCGTTCCGGGACTGAACGAAGCTCAGTAGCTCAGTCCTTGCGCTGTCCGTTGGAAGTCAGCCACCGCCACTAGCCACGTACTTATCTGCCTCCCTCATTTCCGCAGTGTTTCCCCATCCATCGATGACACATCGCCAGAGGAGCGTTACGTCACCATCCTGCGACCCTGGCGCTGTGGCGGCATCATCGTACTGCGCGGCGGACGGAGGGTGGTATAAGTCATTGATAGGGAGCAGCAATGGAAAAATGGAAACAGCGTCTCCAGTTACCTAGGAGGGTTACGAAGGCTGTTGAAGTTGACGGACCGGCAGCAGCTGACACTCTGGAGGTCAGGGGCCAGGAGCAGGAGGTCGGGAGGCAGGGGCAGGAGGTCAGCGACCGACTGGCAGCCCTGTCGCTGTCGGTGGACCAATCAAGGCTTCATGAGCAGAGGCTGGGGGCCGTCCTGCGCGGCCACTTTCGGCTCGAGCCGAGCAGCCTGCCGATACACCTGAAGTACATTAGACAAGTTCTCGCTCCAAAACTGCAGCGCGACCTGAACGCGCAGCTGAGCGCGCTGGGTCGAGACGCGACCCTGCCGACGGACGAGTGTGGACGCTGCGGCGGCCTGCCCGCCGACGGCCTGCGCGTCGAGCGGACGACCATTTCGGGGAGCGTGGCGGACAGAGTCGGCTGGATAACCATCAACAGACTGAAGCTGGTGCTGCACTCGGATCACGACTTCATGCTGGAGCTGAACGTGTCGGCGGCGCCGCTGGCGGCGGAGGCGGCGAGCGGCGCGTCGGAGCCGTGTCTGGCGCCGTCCGACACCCCCGGCTTCTACCGGCTGCTGCTGGGGCGGTCGGCCGAGTGCCGCCACCCGCGGCGGCGCGAGCTGCCGGCCGCGGCCGTGCGCGCCGCCTTGACCGCGGCCGTGCGTGGCCACTGTGCGGGCGCCGAGCCGCGCGTCAGCGGCCCGGCCGTCACCTTCGACGACGGCCAGGGGGACGTCGACTGCGTGTCCTGCGTGCCGGTGCGCTGTGAGGCTGCCGTGCCGTGGCTGGCGGAGCTGCGCGCGCGGCCGCGGCCGGCCGGCTGGCCCGGGGAGCGACTGCTGGCGCGGCTGGCCGGGCCGCTGCACCTGGTGCCGGTCGGTCCGGGCGCAGCCGACCGGCGGCTCTGGCGTCTGTCGTTCTCCGGACCAGAGTCGCTGCTGGTGCGCGCGCTGCCGGCGCGGGCACGCTACTGCCTGTTGCTGCTGCGGCTGGTGCGTGCCCACCGGCGCCAGCAACTGGCCACCGTCTCCTCTTACTACCTGAAGACGTGCGTGTTCTGGCTGTGTCAGCGGCGACCCGAAGCCGACTGGCAGGAGCCGCTGGCGGCCATCCGCGCCGTCCTGGCCATGCTGGAGGAGGCCATCGACCAGGGCTTCCTGCCCTGTTTCTTCTGGAGCGAGATGAACGTGTTTCGCGAGCCGACGCCGGAACGGCTGGCGGCGCTGCGCTTCACGGTGCGTCGCTTCCAGGAGGACCTCGTGCACATTCTGTACACTCTCCTCAACAGGACCAAGAAAGTCTGGGGCCTTCGGATGATTGCCGATCAGGATTAAGAACAGATCATAAACGTTCCCGGGATCGATCTCGCAAGCCGAAAGACTTGACAGCCTGGTTTGCTGTGGACTGTGAGATGTCCTTGACATCGTTGCATAATAAAATACTATCTCCAAATGATGAAGTTTCCATCTAATATTACAGAGTGCGCAAAAAGTTCTGGTCCATTTCTGTACTTCGATAAACGAATGCAATCGGAGTGAATATTATCAACACTAACATCAAATACTGGTTTGCATTATCAAACCAGATACTTTTACTCGCCTCATGCGCGATATAACCCCCTTCTCGGCAATGACCTTCTCCACACGGAGGCGGAAAGACTTGCATATCTTGATGATGTAGGAGGGTCCTTCGTCTCCCACATCTTCACGATGTGTACCTTCAGGGCCTCCAAATTAAGATGGGACACTCCCTGGACTTCATCCTGCAAAACGCTTTAAATGCTTTAGTCAAGGGGCTCAGGTCGGGTGACTGAGGGGGCAATATCTCAGCAATGGGCTTCTCCCCCGAGCTCCTCCATTTGCTTGTGCTGGATGGAACTTCGTTGTTTGCGGGTGTTCTGTGCTGTTGGAAAACGAAATCGACTTTCGGATACGTCTTCAGGATCCATGGGATGACTCTGTCACTGTCAACTGTCAAGCAGACGCTCATACACCGTCCTGTTCATCTTCTAATGGGCGTTAATGATGACGATTGGACACTTTGCCGCCCGAGCCGTGGGCTGTCCTGGATGGCCTAAGACACGGCAGTCACATTCTCAGAGTTCTGGCTGGACGTGACCGGCCTGACCTGGGGGTATCCTCCAGGACCTCCCCTATTCGTATTTGGCTTTGATACGCGTAATTGTTTGCAGGGGGCTCCAAATTTCATCGCAACCTGCTCAACAGTCATGCCCGATTCGGCCGCCGCGCGCGGGCATTGGCTTTCCGAAAAGCAGCCGCAGCACGCATAGGAGTGCTTACTGTATTAAGAGGGCCAGAACTTTTTGCGCACCCTGTAGGTACAACGATCGAACGATTAAGTACCTACCTTGTCTGCTTTGGGTCGATTCCTGTTAGTGTTGTTTCTAATTAGTGATGTCAATTACAGAAAATCGGAATGTCACTGCCCCGGGCCGACGGCCGCGTCCAAACCGGATCACTTGTTTCACGAGTGTCGCCAGGGAGAGGACCCGACAATCCTCTTCCTGGCACGACCGAATATTATTTACTTCAGCCGACAGCGAGCGTGTAGACTGAGTGAACCGCGAGTCGCGATGTCGAAACGAACAACAACACGGGTCTTTCAAGGGAATGCGCTCTATCATCGAGTAAAACGCATTTTATCGAAAATCAGCGATAGGGCGTCAGTTGCCTAGTACCGTAAAGTGGGGCTATTTGAAACGATTTTTACAGTTTTACAGTTTTACAGTTTTTACCTCTCGCCCCTCTCCCTTTAAGACGGTTCATACTTCATATTTCTTATAGCATGTAAATTGCAAAAAAAATGTAGCTCTCGGTGAGCTCTTTCAAATAGGTGCATTTTAGTTCAGCTAGTAATAATGCTTAGGTACCCCGCGACCGCCTGGGGGGGGGGGGTCGGATCTGACCCCCCCCCTCCGTTTTTCTTGAATAAATCATGAACCGCTTACGCTATCAACTTGAAACTTGGCATACCTTCTCACCCATTAATTTGACGTCTCCTGTAGGCATTATTTTTAAGAAAGCTTGTTCAAAACTTTGTGAGATATATCGATTTTAGTGATGATTGTAACTACATTGTGGACACAATCAAATTCCTGCTCAACAGCACTTGCTCTCATTCGCGTAAAATTCTTAGGCTCATAACAGTCACAAATGAAAGCACACAGGCACACAACTTGAACTAAAGTATAGGTACTATCGATGGTTTTAGAATGTCCAATGATTGGCTCTTGTGAATGTCCTTGCGTGGCCTAGCATTGTTCTGCAGGCATTAATGTATGTACCTACCTGGCCCAATGTAGGTATATGTAATGCTACTTGTTATAACTGTCACCTCACCTTGTCACCTCACATTGTGTGTGTGATGCAAATAAATGTGATGATGATGATGATGATGACATGGCGTTTTCAGTCAAAAAGTGGTAAATGTTTTAAAAATATCGCCAAAAATCAAGGTTTAAAGCAAATTGCAAATTAGGGACATAAATAGACGCAGCTTAACGAGTTCTTTAAATTGGCTTTCTCGGATTTTCCATAAAATGCGTTGTTGACCCTCAAAAATAAAAAAAAATATTTTTTTTTCGGAAAACAGCTAATAAAATCCAAAATTTTGAGAATTTCCAAAAAACGGAATATTTGTTATAAAGCTCTATTAGGACATTAGATTCCCAAATTTCAACTTTCTATCTTGATTTTTTACCCCCAAATTGTAAAAAATGGCTCCAACATGCATAGAGCATGGTGACGTCATAAGCATTTTCGTGAATTAGAGGCACTTCTGAACATCGCATGTGAAACCAAATGGCACCACTAGATTCCTGGGACAAAACTCGTCTAGAAAAGTGCATTTTTATGTCAAAAATAAAAAAGTTGAAAAATTGACTTTTTTCTTAGCCTTTTTTTATAAATTTAGTCCGAATGGTTGAATGGGCGGATTTGAGGAGTCAGAGCCCGCACTAAGCATAGCTTGTTATGCTGACCCTGACCCCACCACCCAATCGCACAATTCCAGTTGTATGGCAGAATTTTGTTCGAACGTTTAACGTGCCCTTACGACTGGACACGGTCCCCTCCGCTCACTCACGTTACCTGGCTTCTGTGCGGCCCCTGCCACAGACACGCACGTCTTCTGGTGCTTAGCCAGCTAGAACCTCTTTGTCACACAACGCGACCAGGTTTTTGCTGCTGAGGTCATTTCAGGTCAAGTTAGGCCAAGGTCAATGATATGTGTTTGTATGTCTGTGTGTGTCTGTGTGTATACTGATGTGTGCGCCGATCATGTTTATGTGTCCATATTACATGAAATCATGATCTGAGAAGCTTTTACCAAAAATGCAGTCAAAAAAACTTCACGAAAAGTAAATTTAGCTTGCCTAAAACGCAATTATCTTAGATGACCTAGGTTGACCTTGACCCTGACCTTGACATCTGTACGCACATCGTCGAACAACATGATCCATGATAGGTGGGAGGTAAGACTGGCAAAAAGGCCGAAATCAAAGTGTCAAAAGCTCACAAGGCCCATAGCCAACGCAAGATGTTGAGAATTGGTCATTTGGGTCATGACATGACCTGAAAAACAAGGTCATATCTCCGAAACCAAAAACCACAGAAACTTGAAGTTTTCAGTGGACATCAAGAAAGGATAGAGGAGCAGTTATACGAAAAATCTGGCTTCTAGCCTAAAAAATGTTGAGTGCAGAGCAGAAAAACTACCTGGTGGGGGGGTGGGGGGGGGGGGTGGCAACCCCCCATGTGCGGGCGAGAGTTACATTGTGCGTTTGTCTGTATTCTGTATTATGGGCATGCCAAATTTCTTTCAAAACTTTTCGAAACTGTAAAAAAGGCCATTCAGGACATTTACTGTTCAATCTCACATCAGCCTAAGCAAATATGACGATAAAATATCAAACGGTTTTCATTTTACAGCGATTTTACTAAACCACTACCATACACTGGCGGATCCAGACCTGCGTTTTTTTGGGGGGGAGGGGGCAACTCATGCCAGGAGCCAACCCTAGGTACCACCAAATCCTGTTTTCTCATCGGATTTAGGCCACTTATCTTTCGTCACAGCCCTGAAACGATATTTTTAAACTGAAAGTAAAATAAAAATATAGAAATGGTAGCCCACCCGACCCGTGCCTTTATATTACTTTAAAAACACTTTAAATTGCTTTTGTTGACCAGTTAGCCGACTCCGGGTCGGTGCTTGGCACAGCCTTCGCGGGCCGGGATGTGTCGGTTGGAAATGGACACCCCTGCCGTTCGGCCCCTGATCAAGCTAGAGCTTCGCGGAATCATAGCCATCCCCTAGTGCCAATGGTTACAGACAAAAGTACGTATCGCTGAAGTACGTAGGACAAAAGTACGCAAGCAGAAGTACGTAGGATTAAAGTGCGTATGGCAGAAGTACGTACAGTATAAAGCACGTATGGACAAAAGTACGTCAGGGACAAAAGTACGTATCGCAGAAGTACGTACAGTATAAAGTGCGTATGGACAAAAGTACGTCATGAAAAGTATTTATTTAAGCAGTGCTTTCCGCGATAACTAATTTTCGGAACTGCGGTAACGATAAAACGATAAGTAAGGTTTGCGATAACGATAAACGATAAACGATAAAAATTTGCAAAAAATTAACAGCAATAGCGATAAACGATAAAACGATAACGGTAATTGTTTTTTTAACAGCGATAACGAAACGATAAACGATAATGATAATAGTGATAATAATAATAATAATAATAATAATGATAATAATGATAATAACAAAAGCGATAAGAAATGCGGCTTAAATAAGTGTACTTAAAGTTAACCTATTTGCAGATCTATACCTACACTTGAAACCTGTTGCAGATGGCAACAGGTTGCGCACACATACTGTCGCGCGGCATACACTGTCGATCGTGTTCCATTTTTCCATCATCCCGTTTTACATTTTATCGTTTATCGTTCATAATTTTTGTAACTTGCGATAAGTGGATAAGCGATAATTTTGAAAATTCAGCGATAAACGATAACGATAACCGATTTACTTAGAAGCGATAATTATCGTTTATCGTTTATCGCTCATCCTATCGCATGCGGAAACCACTGTATTTAAAGGGACCCTCCCACCTTAACATTAGATTTGAGTTGAGATAGCCAAAATGGGGTCCCTGGCTCACAATTACCGGTTTCGGCACTCACAACATCGAGAAATGCCTTAACCCTAATCCTGGCGGGGGGGGGGGGGCCTCAGGAGCCCCCCCCTGAGGTTTTTTGGTTATTTCTCCCAAACGCGTTGAGCTAGGAAGCTCAAATTTTCTGACTTTTCCTAAAAGGCTTCTACGCAACATGTCTGAAAATTTTGAGTTGATCTGACCTCAGGTCAGGTCACCAGAGGCGGTTTGGTGACCCTACCTCAAAAAAGTTTGCAATCACGCCAGAGCTAGAGTTTTTGACCGATCAATTTCTTCTCTTCAGGCTTTAGTTAGGGTACCAGTATGTGCAATTTGTATGTCTCGGAATTTTGATATCGGTGACCTAAGGTCAGGTCAGTTTCGCGACCTCCCCATTATAAGTCAATGGGGGAAAAATCAACTCCCTGTTTTTACCACTAAAACGGGTCGGAATGGCCCCATATACCATACATGACTTCATATACGATCAACCTTCACTACCTTGAGGTCTGTTTTGCTGTTGGGCAGCTGTGAGGTCATGTGACGTCATCAAAGGTCACCAAAGGTTTTTGGCCAATAACTCCGTACAGGAACAAGATACAGACGCGTGGATGGTCTCATTGTGTTCAGCTCGTCAAGACGCATTGAATGATATACATGATGACCTCGAGGTCACGTGACCTGAGGTCAACCTTTGACCTTGACCTTGCGAGGTCAACATATATATCATTCGATGCGGATTGACGAGAGGATCACGATGATGCCCTTAGTTTGTTCCTATCTTGACTAATTCGAAAGTTATTCGAGAAAAACTCCATATCTAGCGCCGCCATTTTGACTTTTTCGACCCCTGTGATGTCATCTTTGACCTGACCTGAAAATGACCTTAGTAAAAATTGTAGATCTTGACCGTGCGTATCCGATGCCGTTTACTGTTTGTCGCTATCTTGCTTCGTTCTCGAGATCTCAGGGGGGGGCCGAATCGGACCCCCCCGCCAGTTTCTTGTCCCGGCGGAGCCCGCCAGGAATAGGGTTAAATCTGAAATATTGAATTTCAAAATTGCAGCATTTTGATTCAGAGGGGCTAATGCATAGGAATACCCCTCTGAATGTGTGACGTTAGTGCAGATATCTAACGATTTTTAAATGTTTGACTATAACGTTTTGTAGCATGCGGTGGTATATGCTGCTTTGCGCGCAACAAATGCCGCACTTTCAAATAAAGTCGCTAGGAACAGCGGAGATCCAAAAAAAGTAAACAAAAGTAAAAGTCTAATATCTTGAAAACCGGTGAATATTTTTTGACGAAATTTGGTAGATATTTGTTTTTGCTCTTTCTGAACCGAGCGACATCACTTTCATGCCAATTCATTAACTTTTTTGAAGGTGGGAGGGTCCCTTTAAACATGTCCCGTAGCTCATTTGGTAGAGCACCGTACTCCCGGTAGTGAGAGCCCGGGTTCGAGTCGCTCCGGCGCTCGATATTTGAGACTACTGCTGACGGGGATGGTCTGCGGTTGGTGGGAGCATCCGCAGCCAGTTGAAGTCATGGTTGAGTGGGACAGGTCGTGTCCGGCTTTGAAGGGCACGTTAACCCTCGCATGTGTGCGGCGTTTGCCAGCTTCTAATGTGTAGGGGGGGGGGGGGGGTCGGTTGGACCCCCTCTTGCCGTTTGGCCCCTGATCGAGTTAGAGCTTCGTGGAAAAAACGAGCGTGTTGCCCGCCCGTGACGAGAGGATGCCGATGATACCCAATTTTAAGGTCCTAGGTCATTGGTTGACCTTCCAGGTCAGGTCAATGACCCAAAGTCGGGAAAATCGGGACTCCGACTTAGTCTGAATTGTTGTGAGCACTGTTTTGAGAGACATAGACATACTTAAAAATATAATCAAAAAAGTAACCGTACTCTCATAATTAAAATCAAAAATCATAAAAAAGGCCAGATAATCTCGAGGAGCTTTCGGCTTACGCCTTCTTCAACTCGCTCTCTGAGAGCGAGTTTTGAGCGAGTTGAATAATAATAAAAAAAAAACGTTTCGCAGAAGCCAAGGTCAGGTGCTGACATCTGCAGAGCAAAATAGTTTTAAAGATGTCGCTGTAAAAGTTCTGCGCTCAAATTGCAAATAATATATTTTCACTTTTTATTTTCTAAAGCCAGAAAAATGTGTTTAATTCAAAAGATAAATATGGCTTTTCCTCGCTGAAAATCTCGATTCAAAGATCAATATTTCCAAATTATATTTTTCGCATTTGGTAGCGCGGCAAACCCTCGCAAACTTCCTTTTTAACTCGCTGCTCGTTGGCTTTGGATTCGTTCCATACGAGGGCCAATAATTAGTAAACCATGCCGCCCAAGTTCGATCCGAACGAGATCAAGATTGGTAAGAGATTGTTGAGCTATATCATGTGATCTGGAAGTTTTCAAAAATTTGTTCTTCGGCTATTTCATATTGGCACTTGTGCATCACAATGGGTTCCTTTTGCAGTCTGGCGCACTGTGGTATCTCTGATTCATTTATGGAGACGTTTCTAGGATTGGAAACGTTTCCAATTTTGACAACTCATCTGCTCCAAAATTGGAAATGTCTAGTAGTGACATTTGGACTTTTTCACCCCTGTGACGTCATATTTGACCTGACCTGAAGATGGGCTGTGTATAACTGGTAGACCTTGTGTGTGCATACCCCATGCCATTTACCGCCTGCCACTATCTTGCTTCATTCTTGTGATCTCGGGGCGGGGGAGTTGGTCATCCGCCTCCCCACAGTCGGCGCGAAGCTGGTGAGGACCCCATTGGTGCGCGGGGTAACCTGTGTCCTGGTCACATTTCCCGGTATATAAGTTTAGGTCCTAACTACAATTGTGACGCTGTTGATACGAATATGAAACAGCAAAAATTTTAGGGTTTAGGTTAGGTTAGGTTGTAGGTTTGGAAGTTTTAGGTTGTAGGTAGGTAGGTTTGTAGGTTAGGGTAGGTTTGTAGGTTGTTAGGTTGGTAGGTTATAGGTAAGTAGGTAAGGTTAGGTCAGGTTTGATTGTTTTTTTCTTTTATTTGCGAGACAAATGTGTATCATTTTTGGATTCAGGATGTCAAATAATGTAAGAATATGAAAAATTTATCAATGAAATCTTCTTAGGACTTAAACTTGACATTTACCCATCTCCCATATGTCCTGGTTCAGATATTAGTTAATTTCCATAATATAGACATTCTATAGAGAAACTTGTGTTTAGTAAGAATAATATTGTCATGCAGTTAATCTGGCCAGGAATTTTCAGCTAAAACTAACTAACCATGATCTCACCAGGATTTCGAGCCACAGTTTGTTTTCAGTTTTCAGCATGTTGGCTGTCGTGAGAACCTGCAGTCAACTGTTGCGAAGCCTCTATGCAGAAATATAGTACCCTTTTTTAGCCTAACAATAAGGGGAATGTGGGGAATCGGGGCTTATGGTTGTGGGAGGGAGGGATATTTTCACATGACTGTGATATTTGAAAAAAAAATATATTGGTTGTTAAACAACAATTCAAATTTTGCATTTAATGAGATAGTGATGGTAGCACTTAATGTATGATAACTGATATTCATAGCGAAGCAAGTATTTTTTGGGCTCATTATGGCTATAACAATGATAATGAAATATGTAATTTTTAATGAGGTTTTAATCATTCATTAGCACTTAGTCAGCAGTTCCTCAGTTTTTTTTTCAGCATCTTAGAATTTTTGCTTTTGTACTAAATTTTGCTGTCTGCACCATAAATGGTATTTCTTGCTCAAGCATGGTGTTTTAGTCACTTCATAGTTCGCACTACCTCTGTCTCTGATATTCCATGGTAGGAAGAAAACTGGTGAAGGTTGTAGGCTATTGGATATTAGTGTACCTAATGTCTCAATGTCACATTTTTGGAGGAAAATGGTATTCTAGCACAACCTGTAAGGCAAGGTGTTGCCCTTTGCTCTGAGCGAAGCAGTGCATTGCCGTAGGTAGGCAATGCCTAAGAAGAGATAACAGGCAATAGTAAAATAAATATTTTTAGGCTAAGTGGTTGTGTATCTGGCTTCAGGCCTAAAGCCTGATGCAAAACCACTTAACCTGAAAATAATTGATTTACTATTGCCTGCAATATATTCTTGCAAGTAGCTATTTCTTTATCCCTGGTAGGCAAAAATCAGTAGGTAAGGCTAGGTTTAAATTGTAGCCGTAAAATGCCCTGACAAAAAATGCAGAAGAAAAAATATGCGAACGATAAAATGCGAGACGAAAAAAGCCGGACGTAAAATTGTCCGACGAAAATCTGCTAGACGAAAACGGAAAAACGTCATAGAAAATCCCTTTTAACCTGCACATGACTGGGTTATTTTCCATAATGCGAGTGATGGGGGGAGCCCCCCTCCTATCTCCGCAACTACTGGGCCGATCGTAAAAATTCAAACGGTGTCTGATAGCCCTGGAAAAACTGTCGAGCGAAACCTATTTTCATTGACGTCGAGGTCACCGATGACGTCACAGGTCAGGTCAAATTAAAAATTATCAGCATTTTTGCTTGTTCACAACATGGATGAAGTATTCCTGGATAGGACACTCCCTATTCCCCAACACTAGCGCCGGCGACCAAGCGGCCGCCCTGGTGGCGGAGCTCCGAAACATCGGCGGCGAGTGCGCCGGCGGCCGCCGCACCGGCTTGCGTGCTAAAAACGCGGTAATGGAGGGCGAAATTAGCGAACTTTAGCTCATAAGACACAATTTCAGACACTTTAAACATAATTTTTAGTCCTTTCTTATCATTATTATGGCTCCATTTAGTCACTATCACATACGGAATCATTACCTAATACCTGATGCCCATAAACTGAGCCGGTATTCTTGACTTGCCGATGCAATTTATCATCAACTATCATCGTTCCTCGGCAGTCTAACAAGTTCCTATTGATGATTTAATACAAATATCAACTTGTTTTCATGTTATCGCATAAAACTTAACTTTATTCCAACATTGGCTCTTCGGCTGTAATCACGAACCCTCATTTGTCAGCAGAATTTAAGCGACTTCTTAAATCAAAACTGGGAAAAGAATATTTCCATGACATTCCTCAATTCCTGTTCTACCTGGTTCACAAAAATTTTCATCAAAATCGGTTATAGGTAAGTAATTAACGACAAAAGTATACAAAAAGACACGCTCCGCCCATAGCCCGCAATGCTAAAATGACGCCAGCGCCCTCGCCGTCGGGAAATCCGCCGCCGCCGCCGGGTGGTCGGAAAATCGGCGGAGTGTCCTCCGATCCAGGAATACCTAATCCATGTTCACAATTTTAGGCTCGGGCCGCCGGCTGACAAGTCCTATCAGACTCATTTTTGGTTTACGCACTCCTTGATAAATGCCTTACATACCCTGAGGGTACCACACTTTTACTTTGAATTTTTCAGGTCATCCTAGTTCACGAAAATTGTATATCATGTATCGGTCACGTGACGCCTGTTATATGGTCCATTTTATTCATAGATTCCAAAAACAATGTCGTTTGAGTCATTTGAGGTCATTTCTAGCTGAATTTACCGGGGGTCAGGTCACTTTCAGGTCAGAAAAGGTCAAATTTTGAAAATGAAATTTTTCAACAAAAAAGGTTCCTATTAGATGCGGTTTGTGCTCGGGAACAAAATGGTGCCTATTATATTGTTGTACGATGTCAAAAACGCACTGAAAAATGGCTTTAAAAATATATAATTGTAAAATTTTGACAATAATGCTAAGTTGGCTATTTTTGAGGATATTAGGCTAAAACTTGCTAGAGTAGTTCATCAGTGTGTGTTCTATCACATATATTCCGGTTTTTGCGAAAAATTAAATACTTTTTGAAAAAAAAAAATAAAAAAATATATTATTTGTAATTGTAAAAACATACTTTTCAAAATTTTCTAAATTTCGAAAATTCGAGATAACAGTTTGATTATTGATAGCTACGTTTATTTGTAGTCCACCGATGCAAAGAAATTGGATCTAGCTTTAAAACTAAGCTCTTGAGAGCGTTTGCCGTAATTCAATATTTTGCATCAAAATCGGCCGACATGACGTCACTGACGGTATTTCCGTCCAAACTATGGTAGCTAGAAAGTTAAAATTTGAACACAAGGTGTAAAATTGATGCCGCTGATGGTACCGCAAGTTTCGTGCTGATCCGTCAAACGGTTTAGAAGATATTGCCGAAAAACGGGAGGGGGGTTCTGTAGAGCCCCCCCCCCCAGTCATGCGCGGGTTAACTTAACAAATTTACTTGCAGTAATTTATGTAACGAAGAGGTGTCCGTTTTGCAACAGCTGCAATAACTACTGGGCCGATTGGGCTGAAACTTGTTTATATACGTAGGCACCCACTAGGCAGTGCCTTTCCATGTTCCAAGGGGTGCTGCTGCACGTGCGCACGTGCAGGGGTCGATTTCAGATCTCGAAAACAGCTGGGCCGATTGTGCTCCAATTTGGCACATCGCTAGAGACCAGTTAGTAGGGTGCCGTGCATAAGTCAGTAAAGTCAGTTGAAAGTACCCCCTCCGCACGCACGAGGCTCACCCTCCCCTCACTCCGTTTGTCGCCCCAAAAGGCTTATACTGGTTTATATCTGGCTATATGTATATGGTAGAGTGAATTTGTGGCAACAGTCACTCAAAAGGTCATGCAAGATCTCCAGCTCAGTTTATTATCATTTGTTTTATTAAAACATTTTACCTATGAAATATGTCTACCTCCAGTTGAGATGATGTTTTTCGTACTCCAGCGTAGATGGGTAGCCATACGGCTTCCACGGTTGACAGTGATCACATCAGTCATCTTTTAAAAACAACACCTAAAGATGATCTACCTCCAGTTGCCTCAGCATTGATCTGAGCAATAAATGATCGTCATACATCTGAAAGACCATGCTTAGGGCTATTATTGTTTTCCATGTCATTCTCGATTAGTTTTTAGATAATTTGGCGTAGCCAAATGGCAAAAACGTCCCCCCACCCTCCACCATCACTGTAGCTATGTTAGCTGAAACCCACACAATGGCTCAATCTTATAAACGTCGTTGAATGGATATGGCAGCACTGGCTGAAGTTCACCTACAGAAAACGGCTATCAAATGCAAAATGGTTTTCACGCATTTCAGTCCACCGTATGTTGACGGTTGACGGTCCAAAGAATCATTTCGTTGACTCGGATAACCGTTTGTTGGCACTGATATCACTGTTAACCCTCGCCCTGGCAGGGGGGGGGGGTCGATGCGACCCCCCCCCTAAGGTTTTTCGAAGATAGCGTAAAAACGGGTCCGGGTGACCTTGGGTCAGGTCACCAGGTCTGAAAAACCGGTACAAGGTCATGGTCAAATTTCAATTTTCTTTTTGCACCTGTCCAACTCACAGTTTTTGACTGATTTCCTTCAAACTTTCAGGATGTGCTAAGTTCACCGAGTTGTATAACATATAGTCCGGCTTTTTTGAGGTCACTGACCTGAGGTCAGTTAGAGGTCATTACGTCGTAATGTTAAGCCTATGGGAAAATACTAAATTCGGAAAATACTGGAGATATCCGCTTCGTTCTATCACTTTTGTGCTTTGAAACCACGTTACTTAACAGCAGGTCACTTGGTGCTTCTTTGTTTGGTGTACTTATCCATGGGTCAGGTCAAATGAGGTCAACTGAGGTCAAATGACGTTTTTGCCAATAACTTGGCACATAATGACGCTAGAGCTTCAAAAATGGTATCATTGTGTTCCTGGTGATCAGCCGAATCGAATGATATGCGATATGATGCAATTTGGTTAAGTTGAACTTAATTTATTAATTTAAGTTTACTTAAAATTTAAGAAAAACTTTAAGTACACTTAAGCAAGCTTAAAAGTATATCATTCGACGCGTCTTGACGTGCTGAGTTCACTGGTGCTTTTCTTTTTGCTCTATCTTAATTAGATCAAAAGTTATAAGCGAAAACCTTGTGACCTGTTTTTAGCGAAATTTTTACATTTAAACCCCCCAAAACCCCCCTAAATATTGACCTAGAGCAACCAAATTTGCACAGGGGCGAGAACTCCAGGGGGCCCACCTACCTACCAAATTTGGTGTTTCTAGGTGCCATAGGAGCCAATCGCGAGGGGGGGGTCGCATCGACCCCCCCCCCCTTCCAGGCCGTGTTATGAAAAATGCCCTGCCAGGGCGAGGGTTAATGTTACCAAATGCCGTAAATAGAATAGTACGCCATTTTATAAGATTAGGCCATTATGCTGGTTTGTCGCCCACAACCATCATCAGCTTTGCTGGATTAATAGATGTTGGACCTGATTTTTTTTTTTTTTTTGACAAGCGTAAATTATGATTTGAATGATTTGCACCTCACTATTGCGTGGCTGGTGAAATTTGAGGGGACTCCCGAGGCCTAAAAACAGTCGCACCCGGCAGCTTTCTATCGGTGTGACTGGCATTTCACCGTAAATTGCGGTTGGTGCGGGAAGATTGAGCTTCAAACGAGCTACTGTTTGTAATGGTATGAAATAGTAACGCTGCCTGTCTCCTTTTCAGTGAAGCTGAGGGCTGTGGGCGGAGAGGTCGGTGCCACCTCCTCGCTCGCTCCCAAGGTGGGCCCCCTGGGTCTCTCGCCCAAGAAGATTGGTGACGACATCGCCAAGGCGACTGCCGACTGGAAGGGTCTGAAGATCACCGTGCAGCTGACCATCCAGAACCGTCAGGCCAAGGTGTCGGTGGTGCCCTCTGCGGCCGCCCTGGTCATCAAGGCTCTCAAGGAGCCCCCCAGGGACAGGAAGAAGGTCAAACACGGTAAGTGTGGCACAGTCGCTGAGAGCTAATTCAGGTAGTAGCCTGATGTCTACTGGTGTCAAATAACCACTATATTCACCGGACCCCATAAACTTGAAGTACGAACTTACATCCAATATGAAAATATCTATATTTTTACAAATGTCGTATTCCCCATTGCAGTGAAGCACAACGGCAACATCACGATGGACGACGTGTTCGAGGCGGCGCGCGTGATGCGCGAGCGCTCGATGGCGGTCAACTTTTCGGGCACGGTGAAGGAGATCCTGGGCACGGCCACCTCCATCGGCTGCACGGTGGACGGCGAGGCGCCGCAGAGCCTCATCGAGAAGATCAACGACGGCGAGCTGGAGGTCCCCAGCGAGTAGTAGGCCAGCCAGGTGAGCCGCCGGTAGGGGTTGGCATCCCATCCATCCGCCGCGTGGCGGACCAGCCGGCACGCCCACTTTTGGTAGCTGATATACTCTGTCCGATATCAGAGACAGCGCTGTCATAACAGTTTACCGTGTGATTTAAGTTTTATCTGCAAGTTATCTGTACCAAGTTTTATTAACTATCTTGTACACGATAATCTTTAATGATAGTACATTCTTCATTTTTGTACATTTGCCTTATATGAATCGAATGCATTGTAACGTATCCGTTGTCCAATCCCTCTGAGTGTTTTTGATATACTGCATTACTTAAAAAGTAAAAGCTAACATAAAGGTAAAAGTTGGCAGATAAAAAATATGAAGACCAAAAGTGGGCTGCCTTGCCACCGAGGACTGGAACACCTCGATAAAAAAGCTCCAAATTTCCTGGCTCGTGTGCCAGTGAACACTTCACGATACTAACTGTAATGCTCTTGCTGTTTCAGAAAATATACCATCTTCATCGCACTTTATTGTTTTCTTGACCAAAATAAATACTGAAAGGCCACTTAGGCTTTGGGGAGGAGGGATAGAATGTTCATTATGGGACCCGCAAGTATTGAGTCGCTGAGACGGTATGGGGGACTTATTTGTATTCGAAGTCCGCTAATGGGAGGAAGACCGTCATCAGTGGGCTGGGTGGCGACCTCTATTGTTTAACGAATTGATCGTATACAGTCTACACTCTCTCTCTGCCATCTTACCGCAGCAGTCACATGAAACCACGAGCGTATATTTGCGTCAAAGTATCTGAACACTGAATGGATGGACGATGGCGCCGGCCGTGACGGGCCCGGCCGGCCCAGTCGGGTCGGCGCCGGCCCGAGAGGCGTTCCACGGCGGCGGACCGGCGCCGAGCCGACGGTGCGGGCCGCTGTGCGCTCTACTTGAGCTCCTCGAGCTTGCCGCCGCCGCACGTGTTGCACATGCAGCTCTCGGGTCGCGTGCACAGCAGGTAGATCACTAGCATCACAAAGATCACTGAAACGGGAGGGGGCGCCGGTCAGCGTGCGTGTAAGGCGGGAGCGGGCCATTGCTAGAGCTGGCGCCGCTGTTGGTTGGCGAAGGCGGCCGATGGCTGAACGCAATCCAGCTCCATACTTCAGGGTCAAATTTTCCATTTGTGACGTTTCATCTATCAGTGATCTGTCCTATTATTCCATATTTTTTATTTTATGTTTAGCTATGTGCGTCCTGTAACTTGCCTGAGGCGGCCGGGACGGTAATCCTCATCAGCAGGTTGGGCTTGTTGGGGTCCACCTTCTTGAAGGACTTGCCGTCGTTCCACTCCACGTTGATCTCTTCGTAGTGCTCCGGCTCGTAGGTGGATGGCTGCGCCGACGATTCGTCGGTCTGTAATACAACAATCCAGTCATTTTGAGGTCAAAATTGTCATCACTACGCCAAGATAAGGCATAGGCGGCGGAAGGGGGGGGGGGGGGTGGCACCGTGCCCCCTTGATTTGTCCATTTTAACATTAGCTCTATGGGCGTTGCATGGAAAGAATGGGACCACTGGCGGATCCAGGGGGGGGGGGCATTAGGGGCATATGCCCCCCCCCCCCCGACAGGAGCCTGGGGAGGGCATTCAGTACAAGTATGCCCCCCCCCCGTTCAAAATCTTACGCCTATAACGAGGAACTAAATAAACATGGTCTTCCTATGTAACTACTTTTGTGATCAGAGTCGTTTTAGTAACCTCAATTTGTTGTCATTGCTTTATTTTGTCTAAAAGTATGTTGCTTCTTAGTTCTTACAACAGGGAAGTCATGCCGCTTCAAGTTTCAACCCTTTTGACCGTATTGTCTAACGATGGCACTCATATTGCGCAAACCAGGAATCGGCCGCCGCCTATGCTTGGGAATAGGGACGGTTAGAATATGATTTACCTGCATGGCCACAGCCAGTGCAGCGTAACCGGGGGGGGGGGCACAAGGGGCGCGTGCCGCCTCATTAGATGCATGGTGCCCTATGGGCCCGAGAGGCCCTGCAGTGCCAATTGGCCGCTCAGGGTCCAAGCGTGCCTTATTTCGACTGAGATAAGACCCGCAGGACTCGTGAGAGCACCTCACGGAGTCACGGGCTCCTGGGTCGCCACATATCACACATCTCCATAAGGGCCCCACTCCGGCCTCTGAGGGCCCTGTGCTGGCCTCTGAGTGACCTTGCTGACCTATTAAGCGTCAGCTCTAATTAGAGTCCTGGCCCATACCCGCATGGAACGGCTCCACACCAGTGTCTCTGAGGGCCCATAACGGCGCCTTTGAGGGTCTCACACCGGCGCCTTTGAGGGCCCAACACCGCCAATCTGAGGGACTAACACCAATCTTTTTTAAGGCCCTACATCGGCGGCGGCTCTGAGGGCCCCACACTGGCGCCTCTGAAGGTCTTACACAGGCGCATCTGACGGCTACCTACCTGCAACTCAGTGGGCCCCACACTGGTGACTCTGAGGGCTCCCAGTGACGCCTGAGAGTACCACGCCGGTCTCCAGGATCCCACAGGGCTCCTGAAGGCCTCTGCTGGCCCTTGCTGGTCTCTTGAAGACCCCTTGCCCCCATGCATGTGTCTCTGAGGAGTGAGGACTCCCACAACGATGCCTTTGAAAGTCTTCACCGGCGACTGTGAGGACACCACACAGACACGTCTGAGGGCCCTACACCGCCACCTCTGACACACCAGTGTCTCCTGAGGTCCCACATCGGCGACTCTGAGGGTCCCACACCGGCGCCTCTGGGGCCCCACACCAGTGCCTCTGGCAGTCAGCCACCGGTAACTCTGTAGGTCCTACACCGGTGACTCTGAGGGCCCCACCGGCGTCTGAGAGTACCATGCCGATCTCTAAGGACTCCACAGGGCTCCTGAAGATACTGCCGGCCCTCACTTGCCGGCCTGTGAAGGCCCATTGTTGGCATCATACGGTCCGTTACCGGCCTCTGAGGGCCCTTTGTCGGTCTCTGAGAGGTCCTACTGGGTTATTAAGCATTCGCATTTCGCACCAACAACTCCAAGGGCCCCACACACAGCCATCTGTGAATGGTGTGGGCTTAGCGCCACACCAGTGTCTGAGGCACCACAACGGCGTCCATGTGAGGGCCTCACACCAGCACCTTAGAGGGCTCACACCGGCTCCTTTGTGGTTCCTGCACCAGTGCCTCTGAGGGTCCCACACCACTGCCTCTGGGGAACCCACACCGATAGCTTTCATGGTCCCACGCCAGTACCTCTTAAGGTGCCACACCGGCGGCCCTGGGTCGGCTCTATAGGTACGGCCCTCCAGGTATTTAGTGGTTGGTTGCCAACATCACAATAAACAATCTGCATTGATGAATTCGTCTAATGGCTGTTGAAAATCATTGCCGAAGTGTGTGCACGAACCCTCTTCTCATTTCTATTGAGTCATTTTACAGGAGTGTCTCTATCATTCAAAGTTATTACACCAAAAGCACATAGGCTAACCAACCACTCTTTTGCTGGAGGGCCGTACACCAGTCATTCTGAGCGCCCCACCGGCCCCACCAATTTTCGTCGATTTCTGGCGCTGCCCGGGTATTTGTCCCAAAAGCCTCCTCCTCCTGGATCTGCCAATGGGGTTCAGGTGTCCTACAATTTCTGTTTTTTTTTTTTTTAGAAAAAAAAACTCGTGTCAGGGCTATGACGAAAAATAAGTGGCCTAAATCCGATGAGAAAACAGGATTTGGGGGTACCCTAGGTTTGGCTCCGTGACCTGGTATGCCCCCCCCGCGCTGACACCCTGGATCCGCCAGTGAATAGGACCAAAAGTTGACAGTGCCCTTAACTGAAGGTGTTCCGCCGCTACTGTGATGAGGGCACTGTTGCGTTGTGGTCGACCTATTTCACGATTTGATGGGCGGGAATAAGGAAGGCAAGCTAAAAGATGGCAGTCAAAAGTAGGGCAAATAATCATCTATACCTAATTGGCTCACCTGAGGAGATGTAGCACTGCTTGAACTCGACGGATCTGCAAAAAATGAAAATTAGTTTATCAGTTTTATTGTCACCTAGCAGAATCGGTTGTCGGGCTAGACTTGACAGAGGCTAATAATGAATACGTTGAAGATCTCGGATTGGTCCGGGCCTTGCGAAGATTGACTAAAAAAACAAACAATCTACGCCGTGTCGCTGCACGACAGTGATGGTCTCTGTACCCACGGGGCTCAAAGCCTCCAATGTCAAAGTATGGGTAAAAACGTGTAGCTGTAAAAATGTCTGGTACTTACCGGGGCTGGCGGTGGCGCTGGATGAGCCCGAGGGCGAGGGTGAGGCCGAGGATTCATCGATAGATGTTGTGGCCTCCGGCGCCTCAACAGGCTCTGTCACTGAAAACGAATTGAGTGGTTAGCATCGGCCAGGGTCGAGATTATAACCCATTTGATAACATTCACCTAGGTATTACTGTTGGTGCCTATTAGTGCCAGTACTTAAAAGGCACCTCGAGAATTGTAAATCGTGGGAGTTGTGAAGCTGGCTCCATGGTGTGTTATTGGTAAATTGTTTCTCACTTGATGGCTGGAGCCGGCACGTTCTACTTCAGGTGTGCGTTTTGCTACGGGTTCTATGCATTCCATACGAAGCGGGATGAATGAATTCGTGTGCGCCTGCGGTGCCACCTGCACAATTCGGTGTATCTCTCGTTCGTTGACTATAGAGGACGCCACTCGCGGGTCGAGTGCCCAGTTCTGAGGCCGCCCCGTGGGTTTCGTGCTGCACCTACCATTGACACAGGTGAGCTGCTCCTCGGAGGCCGGCTCCAGCCGCTCCTGGCTGCCGCAGCGGCGGCTCACCGTCTGCTGACCGCTCGAGAACCGCTCCCCGGCCGGACAGGTGAAGCGGGCGCGCGCGCCGGCCAGCACCTCCTCCGTGCTGGCGATGGTGACCGAGGTGGGCAGGTCGGCCGGCGGGGTCAGCCCGGCGCCCGAGCACGCCAGCACTGCAACAGGACGGGCGCACTGACTGACGGAGGCGGCTCCGTCGGCGGGGACGCGGAGTGGCGTGAACAGACTGGCCCCGCGGGCTACTCTGCCGACCAATCGACACTGGGTCACTGCTCTTCTGGCCTGTAATTACTCTGCGCGTTGGAGACCTTCCGGCTTCCCATTCGAGCTCTGCTTTCACTGCTCACCTGCGAGATTTTACTCAGCTCCGAACACGCAGCCATGCTCCTGCCTCAATAGATTGGATCTGAGATCTCGGGCCAGTACCAGTGTCCAGTACCAGCACAGCCGTGCTCACCTCTGAGGTTGAGACTGGCGGCGCCCAGCTCGATGGTCTGAGAGCCGTCCGCCACCGACAGGGGCCCACTCTGGCCCAGAACGCCCTCGATGCCGTCAAATTGCTGAAACAGACAAAATGATGCTCATATGCCAGCGATTGGCAAATGGCACCTGTCTTGTTCTGAGACGAGGTCATTAGCATTCTTTCGTTACGTGCTCATCCCTTTGTACTAGACAGTGGATAGGTGGTACGTAACTAGCAGCATAGCGATGGCCTCTGACCTGTTCGATTTTCGTTCTGCTGAGCGTTGAGAAGGTGATGTGTATGTTTGCGCTGCCCGACTCGACACTGTCGATGGCCACATCGGCGACCCAAAGGCCGAGCGTGGCCCGCAATCTCTCCTCGACCTGAGGGCGGTGACCGGTCAGTGGGACAACAGAACGACGAGAGGGAGGCGCTCAGGCACACCGTCAGGACACATGTCTTCTAGCTGAAGACATGTGTCCTGTCCTGTCTTCTATCTGGGGTGGACTGCGGGAAAAAACTATTTGATATCCACTTGCTTAGGTAGCTCGATCCCGCTGCCCACTGAAAAAATCGCCATTTCCGCTGTGGCGACCACGCGCGGTCGATGTTCCTTACCACGGCGAGGACCAGCTGTGTGGAGGTGTCCGGGTCGGTGGTGAACTGGTCACTGGTCGGGTCGGTTATCTTCAGCGTCAGCTCCGCCATCCCGCCTGCCGTGCAGGAGAAATGCCCCGGCGTCAGTTCGGCGTGGAATCAGTGACGTAGCGCGCACCTCGGTCATTGTGGAAAAATAATTCTTTAATTTTTCCATTGAAAACTAATCAAACTTCTCCCATTGCTGTGCCCGTTAATCGTTTTCTACAATGCATGCGAGTCGCCAGCGCTGCCTGCCGGCGCACGATGAGCTGAGCTGACCTCCTGTGCAGAGGCACGGCAGCAGGCCGGTGACGTTGCTGAACTGGACCGAGCAGTAGCTGGCGCTGGCGCTGAGCTGCTCGGCCGACGGCAGCTCCTGCAGCGCTGCGTACTTGTCGGCGAACATGGTGAAGTTTTCGCCGACCAGACCGCTCTGCGTCATCAGCGGCTCGTAGCGCGTCTGACGCTCGGCGTCGGTCAGCGACTGGTTCGTCAGCTGGCGGCGGAGGGGGACCGTGTCAGGCCAGAGGACACACACTGGCACATTGATGGTCTATACACGAGACGTCATCTGCAGTACAACCAGTCCATAAAATCCATCTATCCACTCATTCCTCCAGCTTTGTTGGCACGCACGGCAACTCCCCGGCGCTCACTGCCCGCCTCACGATATTGAAGTACTGATATTAGTCGCCCAGTACCTCCTTACGATCTGGTAGTGCTGGTACTCGCGATCTGGTAGTACTGGTCCGGGTCGCCCGGTACTCACGATCTGGTACTGGTCACCCGGTACTCACGACCCGGCAGTACTGATATTGGTCGCCCGGTACTCACGATCTGGTAGTGCCGGTACTGGTCCGGGTCGCCCGGTACTCACGATCTGGTAGTGCTGGTACTCACGATCTGGTAGTACTGGTACTGGTCGCCCGGTACTCACGATCTGGTAGTACTGGTCGCCGATCGTCTCCCAGTCGCTCTCGGCGATGTCGGGCGGGTACAGCGAGCTCTTGCTGCAGAGCGCCACCACGGCCGGGTCGGCGTCACACTGACACTGCAGCGGCGGCCAGCCGGACGGGTCGGGCTGACCCTCGGCCGCCGCCGTCACCAGCCGGGCCGCCACCAGCAGCGCTGACCGGGCACACGGCGGGCGCAGGGTCAGAGAGGTGCCACATTTCGACAGAGTGGTAAAGATTGCGTGTTTTTGCATGCGTCTACGTTCCCTTCATGTCAGAGTTCGTCTACGAGTGACCATCCATCCTGTGTCGTTCGCACGTCCTAGTTAAATTTGCCAACTGAGCTCTCCGCATCCTTCCGCGGCTCTAGTGTTACCGTATGCCCTGTGGCGGAGCACTGACCTGCCGTCAGCCGTCGGGAAGCCGCTCGTCGCCCGGAGGCCGTCTGCTGTCGGCCGGGGGCCGCTCGCTGTCGGTCGCGGACGGCCATCTTGGGAGGGGCGCAGGCCGTGCGCGCGGGCCGGCGCGTCATCGGTGAGCGCGGCGGCGCCTGCGGCCGCCAGAGCACCGTTCATTAGCGCGCGGAGCCACTCGGACTCCTATCGGCCCCTATCGCATCAATAGCAAACAGTCCGGGGCGCGGCTTTGATCTGGTGGATGGCGGGGGGCGGCCGCCGGGGACGGTCAGCTCGCGGCCATGGCGTCAGCCGGCCGCCCGCCATTAGTCTTGGTCAGTCGGCAACCGGCCGCGGCTCGGCCCCCTGGAAAACATACTTCAGACGACCGAAACCGCTAATTACTGGGTGCCGTGCAGAACGGCCACTTCTGATATCAGACCGCCGTGTGAACTGAATTTACTGTGTGGCACTATGGCGGCACCTCTCAAGCCGAGCTTTGATAGTTAGCAAGTGTCCGTTTCTTCATATTTGTTTATTTGGCTTAGTAGAAATGAGCTGGAAATCGCCACTTTAACGTTTCGAACCGTTTTTATGAGGAGTTCGAATCATACAAAGTTCCTAAAAATGGAGCATGTTTATGGGCTACCCTCGTTAGCACTTAGTATGCTGTATGAAACGATCATATGAGAGGACTTTCAAGGTATTCGACCCTTCGACCCGTTTTATTATCCGCGAAAATAGGTTTTGATTCGTTGACATTTCTACAAGACAGAGGTCTTGTAACACCCCTCTCACTATCAAATTTTAAGGTCAAATGCTCTTTGGAGTAGCCAAACCAGACCTAAACATGCGCGAACAATCATAAGAAGAGTACCGTCAATGAGGAGAGTCAATGCACGCTGACGCCTTTATGGCTGCCGAGGGTGCGCAAGACCAGGGTTTCGGAGCCGTGGTAGCGCTGTTCCGACTCCGACTCCGACTCCGACTCCGGGCTCCTGACCGACTCCGACTCCGACTCCGACTCCGACTCCGGGTCTGATACGAATGGCAATGGCGACCGCCAAAGTTTTGCGTGATATGACGCCACGCGCTAGGTCTACGTGCACGGGGAGAACGCTCCTACTCTCCGGTTTCCTTCATGCAGTCACCATTTCTCCCACGTGGACGCAGCTGAATCCACAAGAGGTCAGCGGTCAGCGTGGAATCCCGCCGAGAAGCACGAGAGGCGGCCGTATCACGAACACGAGCATCGCCATCATGTCGGTCATTCCTATGTGTTGATACTTTTCGGAGCATAAACGAAGAAAATAAAAATCTTTGACTCGTCAAATACTTCAGATAGTGGAAGTTATAACAGGCATGCAAAATACCTACTTGGCTACTAAATTATGATATAACTTGAAACTTGTAAGATCCAATGTTTGTCATTTAGAACAAAAAACATGATGAGTGCAATTTTTATCGCCGGAAGCGAATTCTACCGCGGGCAACTGGTAAAAAAACTGAAAAGTGATGTCACAGATTCTAGTTATTTTCCGGAGTCGGAGTCGAGGCAGCTTGACCGACTCCGACTCCGACTCCGACTCCTGGCTGCTTGCCACGACTCCGGGCGACTCCGACTCCGACTCCGACTCCGAAACCCTGCGCAAGACTAACCCGGCCTGGCTGCAGAGACACGGGATATCTCACGGACACGGGACACGGGAGCAGAGAGTCACGGGGCCGATCTGGCTGAGCCGCACTGAGCCAGCCCTGCCCCGCAGTAAGGGAGGACTGGAGACCGCTGCCTGAGGAGCCGTGCCCGCTGCGTGCTCACCTGGCGCTGCTGGTGGTCCGGCTGCCGCTGCTCCTGGCCAGCTCGTGCCGCTGCAGCCCTTCCTCCTCCCACGGCCGTCCACCCTCTGTGTACCGGGCGGCCCGGCGACGGGGACGCGCGCCCGGCGACACCCGCAAACACGACAAATAATGCAGGCCGCGTGAGAGTGACCTCGGGTGGCGGGGGTGAGCCGGACGCACCTGATGGGAACGCCGCAGGCCGGATGGAGCACCTAATGACCGGGAAAATTGATGTACGCCTTGTGATAGACTATGTGTGTACGTCTTGCACGCACGCATGGCTCATGGTTGGTTCGAGTTTGCGTTAAGTTGAGGCACTGTATGTAGGCTATTCAAAAGATCGGGATTGTGTGTGTGTTTTTTTTTTTTGCTTTGTAATTTAGGGCTTATTTGTGTCGTTCTGCGATTATTTTCGCAAAAAGAATGTTTTGATGATTTTTTCATTACCTACTGAAAATTTTTGTAACCTTCTGCATCGGTTCGGCTGTGTGATGCGTCGTTAGTTATTTTTAAGGCTGTGGTGCGTATGGAAGGCTTCTTTTGCAACAGAAGAGAAGGATACCTACCAAGAATTTCATGATGAAACGGAAATTGTTTCGTTTTATTGAATGTTCTTATTTTGTTTAGCCATTTACTTAGTGGTGAAAAAATAAGGCCCGTTCGACGATTTTTACACTTGCCGAAGTTATGTATTTGGCTGAGTGTTATAACTGATTCACACACGGTCAATATAATTTCATTGCACGTTTATTTCATGATGAAGGCAACATTGCAAGGCGACTCTGCACATGCACAGCGCAATAACTCGCGAACATACACATTTTGGCACGTGGCCATCCAGCCATGGGTAATGGGCAATAGGCATCCAACCCACTTCCAGCTTCAGCGGTGCACAGCATACATAACCTGCGCGCGACACACACTGACACGATAGTTCTGTGGCAGTTGACCGCTGCGCCGCACCGACCGCAGAGCTCGCCGCTGTGCTGTCACTGACCGCCGCCGTCGGACGTCGATACGTCTCTGACCTGACTGTCTCCGCATCAACTGTCCACTGTTCAGTCACACTGACTGCGAGATATCACCGGGGCTCAGCGGGTGGACAGGCGGCGGGCGGCCGTCCACCCTCCGGGAGGGGCGCGGCGGGGACCGTCTCTCTGTCCATTTTCGGACACCGGTGCCGTCCAGCCGGCGCTCGACAGCCGCCGGCCGGTGGTCCCCCGTCGGGTCACGCTTCTCCCCGCCCGGGCGCCATGAATAAATACTCACCCGCTGCCATTAATCGCCGTCGTATTTATTTTCACGGGCAATTTTCAGCAGTTGTCCGGCTGGCACCGTCGGCGTTTTTCGCGCCTCGTTTTTCAGGCGCTCGACGGGATAATGCGATTCTCACCTGGCGCCGTACTCGTACTCGGCGCTGGGCGGCGGTGGCGGCGGCGGCGCGCCGGCGGCCGACGCGGCGCGGTACAGGCCGCCGGTCGGCGACGCCGGCGCGCCGTAGCCGCCCGGGTAGAGCGGCGCGCGGCCCGGTGGCCGAGAGTAGGGCGGCGAGCGCGCCTTGTACGAGTAGGGCGTGAAGAGGGGGCCGTAGTAGGCGGCGCCGGCGTACGGCTGCGAGCCGGGCGCGGCCGGCGGGGGCGCGTACTGCTGGCTGACGGCCGGAAACATACGGGACATGGCCGACACCGAGACCGGCTCCGACTGCTCCGAGCCTGCCGACGGGACAGGGGACCGTTCAGTGACCGGGGACACAGGCGCCGTCAGAGACCGGGAGGGACGGGGGTGGTCAAACATCGTAAAGGGATACGGGCTGGTGTGCACTTTGTATGATACCTTCATTGATACACGCATCGATACATGACCACACAATGCGTGATAAAACTAATGTTGCGCAGGGATCAGGAAATTAAGCACTTTCCTACTAACTAGTATAACCTTGTTTTACGACATTCATTGTTCACATAGTTCAACACACCCCATCCGCACATAAATCCGTTGAGTATCTCATTCGCCCATGGCATGCCCTCGCAGACCGCTCCCGTTTCCCCGCCATTCATTGTGAGCGGTCGGCCATTATTTCTCTGCGAGGATTCGGCCGGGGTGGGCGCATTCTCAGGACGGGGGCCCTCGGAGACGTCGCGGCGCCGCGGCGCGTCCGAACCCCGGCAGCGCCATCAGACGACGGCCGTTTTTGTTGTCCCTGTCTGAGATGGCTGACTGGCAAGAGACAAACGGGCCTCGTTAGTCGGCTCGGGCCGGGAGCGCGGGCTCAGAGACTGGGAAAGGCTCAGAGACCGGGAGGCACAGCTTAGAGGCAGAGAGGGCAGGCCGAGAGGCCGGGATCGCAGGCTCAGAGGCCAAGAGAGACAGCTCAGAGATAAAGGGTCGGCTCTGGCCGGGAGGGCACTCTCAGAGACTGAGAGGGCCGAGATGGCCAGCTCAAAGACGGAAAGGGTCGACTTAGAAACCGAATCGGCTCGGGCCGAAAATGCATGGCTCATGGAAACCAAAAGTGTCGGGTCAGAGATTCGGAGCTGGAAAGAGCCCAGAGGAACCACAGCCCAGAGCCCGGCTTACAAACCGAGAGAACCATCTTAACCCGCGCACCGACGGGGGTCTGCGCCAACTTCGCACCGACGGGGGGGGGCGGATGACCGCCCCCCCTGAGATCTCGAGAACGAAGCAAGATAGCGACAAGCGGTAAACGGCATCGGATACGCACGGTCAAGATCTACAATTTTTACTAAGGTCATTTTCAGGTCAGGTCAAAGATGACGTCACAGGGGTCGAAAAAGTCAAAATGGCGGCGCTAGATATTGAGAGTTTTTCTCGAATAACTTTCGAACTAGTCAAGATAGGAACAAACTAAGGGCATCATCGTGATCCTCTCGTCAATCCGCATCGAATGATATATATGTTGACCTCGAAAGGTCAAGGTCAAAGGTTGACCTCAGGTCACGTGACCTCGAGGTCATCATGTATATCATTCGATGCGTCTTAACGAGCTGAACACAATGAGACCATCCACGCGGCTGTATCTTGTTCCTGTACGGAGTTATTGGCCAAAAACCTTTGGTGACCTTTGATGACGTCACATGACCTCACAGCTGCCCAACAGCAAAACAGACCTCAAGGTAGTGAAGGTTGATCGTATATAAAGTCATGTATGGTATATGGGGCCATTCCGACCCGTTTTAGTGGTAAAAATAGGGAGTTGATTTTTCCCCCATTGACTTATAATGGGGAGGTCGCGAAATTGACCTGACCTTAGGTCACCGATATCAAAATTCCGAGATATGCAAATTGTAGCTACTAATGACCTAATAACATCCTGCGACTTTCAAAGGTCTCCGACATCTACTGTAGCTCTGGCACGGTGACAAAGTTGCAAAAAAGTGACTTGAGGTTGGGTCATTCAAAGTGACCTGGTGGCCTGACCTTAAAGGGTAGAGGTTCAAACTTGCACACCATGTGTAAAATTGATGAGGGAATAGTCATACCAAATTTCGCGGCCCTACGCGCCGCGGTTTTCCCGCTATTCGCGAAAAAACCTCAGGGGGGGGGGCGGATATCCGCCCCCCCCCCGTCGGTGCGCGGGTTAAGAGACTGAGATACCGAGAGGGAAGGCTCGGAGACCGGGACGGGTTCTGGGCGCTGAGACGGCCGGCTTAGAGACGGAAGGAGTCGTCTCGGGCCAAGAGCGCTGTTTTAGAGACTGTGGGGTCGGTTGAGACCGGAATAGTCAGCTCAGAAGTGGAGCTGACCGACTCGGAGACCGAGCGGGCCGACTCGGAGACCAAGTGGGCCGACTCAGAGACCGAGCCCTAAGCCGTAATCGCCACGCCATATGTGGAAGGCTTTTGGTGTCAATACATACATACATGCATACATACATACGAGCGGGCCGACTCGTGCCAGGATAACCGACTCAGAGACCGAGTGGGCCGACTCGGAGACTAAGTGGGCCGACTCGGAGACCGGGCGGGCCGACTCGTGCCAGGATAACCGACTCAGAGACCGAGTGGGCCGACTCGGAGGCCCGAGCGTGTCACTCGCGCTCTCATCTCGTTCATTAGCTAGCTTCATAAAGCCTGAATTGGTGTAAAGAAACGGTAACTTAGCGAGTGAAAAATACACACTCGGGAAGGATGAAACAAACAGTTGCAAGCACAGTCGCTCACTTGGCTCGATGACCGGCGCCGCTCGGCGCGTCACCTCGTCAGCGCACTGAACCTACAATAAATGATCAGACTTGTTTGAATGGAAAGCCCATCTTGAGATCTCGATCCAAACAAACTCTGTCCGGATAATTTAACCTGTCAGCGCTCCACATAAACAAACTTGGGTGAAAGCAAAAATTGGATTAACAGAATAGTGTGTTTATTGTCTTACTTCCTCGCTACTCGTGTTAAGTGCCAAGTTCCGTGAGACCCAGAATCCGTCACCGCGCTCAGAGAATAAATGATTCACCTTCGGGCTGAGACAGTAGAGCCGTTCTGCGTATGTTTCCGCTCGTGTTTACGCATGGCTGCCAGATTCACATAAACAATTATTTTTGGTCGTAAGTTGGCTGTTTCGACGCATCCAAAGCGTTCAAGCCTCAATGCGCCTCCATTGCGCCTCAGTGGGAGCCTGAGCCTCAGTTAGGTACCTACAGTTCGTTTGGAGATATTAAAAACCAGTTCATCTGGTTTAGTGCTATACATGATAATATTTCATCTTGTAATAGGCAGACTTGTAAACGACTCTGAGTTGATTCGTGAATCGACTCAGAATCAAACCGTTTTTCGATGAGTCATGAGTTGATTCGAATCACTTCATCGAGGAACTTGATGAGTCATGAGTTGATTTGAATCAATTAAATTTAACATCATGAGTCATTTGATGAATCGATTCAAATTTTCAGACTCAAACAAAGAATCGACTCAAAAAAAAAATTTGAGTCGTTTACAAGTCACCATCAACACCCTAATAATCAATGCTAGATCACCCCCTCAGCTTTAGCCATCACTTAACTCCATATTTCAGACTTACAAGAGCCTCAGAGGCTCAGGCACAGGCGCCTAATGAGCCAAAAGCATTTGGCAGTTGGTACCTAGGTACTAGAGGTGGCAAAACTGGAAAATTTTGGGACCCGGACCCGGACCCAGTCTGACTGGCACATTTCCAGAACCGGTCAGACCCGGTCTAGGTCAGCATTGGAACCAGATGGACCCGTTCCCGAAATTCATTTGGAAAATTGTGTACTGTGCAAGAAGAAAATATTTTCTTTCCAATTGAGCAACCTTGTGTTGCAAAGTAAAACACTCATGCCATGGTAATTTCACTTCGCTTCACAGTTTGTATTTTAGAACCAGATTCAGGTCATATTTAATAATACAAGGCGTAAGAAGAACAATGAATTTCATGCTCACCTAAGCCCCTTTTACTACAGCTGCTAAAAATGATGTGAACTGGGGATCCATGGAGCAGTGACTTCATCAGTCAGAACCTAACATCAAACATGGAACAAGATAAATATACTGATACCTTTGCTAATATTCTTGGTAAAAGATATTCGTTTTTAGAATGGAATACATAAGTCCTTCAAATATCAACTATATAACGTCCCAAACCAATCCCAAACCAGAAAATCAAAATCAAAATAGAGAAACATAAAACTGTAAGGTCCGCCAGAAATGTCGACACCAATAGCAAGACAAAGCAGGCGTTAAAACACTGCAAAATTTTGTTGGCGTTAAAGTAGGTACTGCAAAATCGAAATGACCGTTGACGAAATGAAGGTTGCGATCATGACTTAGTGCCAATTCATTAACGTAGAAAACAAACTACAATTTGTTGTTAGTACTTAGATATAGAATAAAAACCAAAGTTTCTGGGACTGACCTGATTTTGATCTTAGCGTCTTTGAGCTGGGATCCATGAGCAGAGTAATTGCGTATTACAAACGTATCACTATGATGAACAAGTAGGAAAATCCGTTCCTGATGCACATTTACTCGTCAATGCATTCGGGGTCTTTGTATCAATGTCATTATAGGCGTTTAGTATGTGCTAGAGTGGAGACTTTGTCCTCTTCCCGATCGTGTTCCAAAATTGTTACCTTTATGCAGTAGATTAGCGTGCGTAAGGCTTAGCATATATGACGCTCAAATGCGCCGTTTTCATATCAACACGGAATCATTGGCCTTGGAGAATGGCATTGGTATTGACTCAGTTATTTGCCAGCTGTTGCCGTATGATGGCGCTAGTAGAGCGCTAGTGTTATACGCTCTGCTAGCAGGGGCGGATCCAAGGGGGGGTCACATGGGTCATGGCCCCCCCCTTGAGGCCCGGGGGCCCAAAGACCTGCCAGGGGCACCACCGGCCTATCAGGGGAATCACAGTCCTGACAGGGGCACCACAGGACCGCCAGGGGCACCACAGGCCTAGCAGGGACACCACGGGCCTGGTGCTCCTGGGCCCTGACAGGACTGTAACGCCCCTGACAAGCCTGAAGTGTCCCCGGCAGGCACGTGGTGCCCCTGACAGGCCTGAGGCGCCCCTGCAAGGCCGGTGGTGCCCCTGGCAGGCCTGTGGTGCCATTGCTAGGTCTCTGGTGCCCCTGACAGGCTTGTAATGCCCCTGGAAGGACTGTGGTGCCCCTGGGCCCTGACAAGCCTGAGGTGCCCCTGACAGGCCAGTGGTGCCCTTGCTAGGCCTGTGGTGCCCC